TTTTTCAACTATGAATCCTACTCTCCTGATTTCCCCTACCGTAGGGGTATTTTAAGCACTCCAAAAAGCTTTTAGGAAATCGTACTTACTACCACTAAAAATGCCAGATATCTATAAAACCAACGCTGCCACCTGTCAATGCGACGTTCCCTGTGCCAGATTCGCTATATTGCAGCTGTCACTTATCAACGACGCTGCAGTGATTCTGTCGCACTCCGCAGTGATTCCAAAACACATGACATGAAAATACAGTAAGAGATGTTTTACCGTCGCGACGCTGCCTTTCACAGATAGACACTTTTTTAAAAACCTGTTTCTAGCCCTCCACAAACTACTTCTTTCCTAATTGAATGTGCTTTATGTTTTTTCACGGGCAAAACATACATTTAGAATACAATAGAAACCATATGGCGAGAAATTTACACCGTAAAGGGCGCAATAATGCATTTTGATTTAGATGTGACTCATCTCTTCCGCCCACATTGAATGCATAAACGGCGGATGAATGATATGCCGCCGTTCGCCGGCGATTACGGCGCCGTGCGCCCTCCGACCTTTTACGTCAAAAAGCAGGCGGGCCAAGAGAGACCGCCCGCTTCGCCAGGGCGACTGTTGAGATGCTTTTGAGGTGCTCTTATCGCTTCTATGACACTTCATCACACAGCTAGCTCTATGCCAGGAAACATGGAGAAAGAAACCCACCGATTCATGTCAGTTCTTGCTTTACGATCTCTCTGAACAAAAATGAAATAAAATGTGAAAGCAAACGTTTTCGTTTTCACTCCCGAAAATAATCTCTTTACGCTTTTAATGGTGACTCGTCTAGCTTAACAACCAATTCCTAAACAAATGTAAACGGATTTAATGATTATAATTAAAACTTGGCTAAGATTTCCATCTAGTTAAAAATATTGCAAATTAGGTATTTCACCAAGCCAGCAAACCGCGAGTGTCTTGTATCGGCTACATTACTTGAGGACGGTACATCGGTCGACACTGAGATGTCGGATTCACGCCTCTGTCGACTGGCTGTCGAAATGGGCACAAGGCGTGAAAAACTGCCAAAAAAGGAAAATCCGTCTAAACCGCAGCTGTGTACGTGACGTGTGGCACGTGTCAGCATCACACATGCCGTCATGCGCCTCCCGTTCAATTATCTCCCAAAGAGTGCTAGCTTCGCGTCGCTCCGGCCCACGGTTGCCGAGACTCGGCCGCGGTTTCGAACGGCCGCTCGCCAGCTTCAGCGAAGGGAGTTTTTTTCGGACCGCCCACGCAAAACCAGGAGCTACAAAAGCAATTCACGACACATTCCACAGCATTCCATACGTCAACATTCCAACACTCAGCGATCAGCCGTTAGGCCTGCTCACAGGTCAACAGACAGACAGACAGGACACTGTCCTTCAAAAAGCGATGTAGATATGCAGCACCCGTCGGCATTGGCCAGCTACCGCTTCTGGATAACAACGTGAAAGTGGAAGGGAAATGAAAATAAGCAAGGTATAATCTAACCCAACTGTTCGCGGTGTCCAGATTATTCTGACCACGCCAGCCCACACGACATTATCACCACGCTGTCACGTGGTGAACGTTACCTTGACTCCTTGTGGGTTTCGTGGCATGGGTGTACCCCTGAAATAGGATTCCGGGTTGGGCTGCAGTACAGATTGCTGGGAAAATTACATGTATGGTCACGATTATTGGTGACTCGTTGGCGAAATATAACGTGGTGACTTTTTGTGGAGACTGAGGAGAATTCAGAATGTTGCTGCATGCAATCCTTGTAATAATGTTGTTCTTATTCACACCTACTTTACAATGATCCAACGCAAAATGAAACATGAATGATATAAGTACAAGTAATAACTGAGCTGCTATCCGCACTCCAAAGGCACCGACACCATGTACATATTGCCGAGGATGTCATAGCGATCATTAACAATAATCAGTTCATCGTCTTGAATGGATCCAACTCCTGTTTTGGTACTAAAACCAAGTTTTATCATCGGGGCGTAACGGTTTCTCCATGCCCTTTACACCCGTTGATGAAAGCATATTCTTCGGAACAATGCGAATGATTTTAAGCCTGTGATAAAGCTGCCACAAAAGCATATTTTACTTAAGCATCACCTTCCTGTTGAAGGCAGTAGTCTGTCAGTGTAGGCTTCTGAAACGAACGTGGTTCGCTCCCACAACAATAGTGATTTGTGCAGCCTTGCCGTCCGAGGGCGGCCAATACCCTTATTCAAATTATTAAAAGCAGAGCTAGTCCTCTAGTACGGCTGTACTAGGAGGCAACGTTCAGCTTACGAATCTCAGCATCTCCACGGAAATCTGGCTTTCATCCTCACATGGTTTGTGCTGGATGCCGCTGAGCTAAGATTTCCCGACTGCCGGCTATTTGACGGCCGTTCCAGGCGACGTCGTTGGCGGCCGACCGTGTCCGTCGTGCCGTCATCGTCACAGAGTGGTGCTGGCTCGCAGAGGTTGGTCGTGCGTGCGCACCATGTCGGTGCATATGTCGTCTGGGAGGCGCGACGCATACCTGCCAGCTGCGTTGAGTGTAAGACGGGTGCTACGACACGGCAGGAGTTCTCCGAACAGACGCCCGTGGAGCGCTGGGCAGCCACGCCGCGAAACATGCGGTTCGGCGACGCGCCCGGTCACTGCTGCGATGCAACATGGGAAGCCGCACGCGATATCGGAGGTCACCGCCGTCGCTGACTCCATGCACTGGCCAGCTCACCTGCTCGCCGCCGCCGTCTGCGCCGCGCCATCGGCCCGTGAGAGCGGCGCCCGCTGTGGCAGAAACACCGACGGCCCGCGGCACGTGGTAAAAACATTCTCAGTGCGCGTATGGCCCGGGCCTTGGGTGATGTGCGATGCCGAAATGTTCTAAGGACTGGTCAGCGTATTAGTCAAAAGCGTTCACCAGATTTAATTCCTTTGGCCGGAACAGTTTGTCGATGGGACAGGACAGTTGCGATAAGCTTTTCCCTCCAATCCCTCGCAATTCCTCTACTTTAGAAGCCCCATTTATGGTCAAGGACTGGAATGACGCATACTTTTGTCGCTGTGGAACACCTGTTTTGCAGGCCACGAATCAATGCACGAAACGAAGCAGCTGCCGCCAGCCGACGGCTCACTCGCAGCGCATGCGCATTCCGATCTCTTGTTAAAAAAAAGTCGGCGGCCATGACCGAGCCATCGAACGATGGCATTTCGGCCTCGCCAAGGAAGCGAAATCGTAGCCCTTCGGATAGGTGATGTAGCTCCAATCAGAAAGCTGTCATTTTGTATTGCCCTTTTCGAAGCATACTATCATATATATATATATATATATATATATATATATATATATATATATATATATATATGTATATATATTTATGTTGGAGCTTCAAGGTCGTCGAACCATTTTCAGAGGCTATTGAGTTCAAATCTGTTGATTGCATGGGTTTTGGGGATCAGCGCCTACGCTGAGCAGTGTTGCTGACTCAACTGAGCTATCGGCATTGGTACGCAAGGAAATTTAAAGACTCCTCATATATTCCATGTGACCTATCACGTTATCAGTAGTGTGGCATTCGCCAGCTGAGTGCTGTGTAGATGAGAGGGACCATTACGATCGGTTGGATCCACGTAGTAACGGTGCGGTTAGGAGGCCCGACAGTCGCGGCTGACGAAATCTCCGAAGTGTTTGCGAGCAAAGCTATTATTTCGCTTGCGATGCCTTGGCTTGACGGGCTATGCGAAAGCTTAGCGTGGATTGAAGCCATGTTTTTTCATAAACTTGTGGCGTTGTTGATAGGGTCTTGTTATCTTTTATTGTTTTGGACATTGTTCCTCCAGCTTACTGCACGTGCTTACATCATGCGTATTAGTGGGCACTCAGTTGTTAAACGTGTGCGAATGTTGTTCGACGCGCTTACTTGGGCGTGTGCTTTCGGTTTTCACTTACTTGTAACTCCACTGCAGTAAGATTTATTTTTTCACCGAAGAGCAAGACGTGTAGTTCGTGTTGTCTTACTTGCTCTAACCTTGGATTGCCTGTTAACTGCCTTTGCTTTCCCTCACAGTTTCCTGTGTTCCAGTGTAACTAAGTATAACACCACTGTTTTAGGCTTTCGGTGTTATGTGTGTTACGCAGCTGACTGCATGCATAGTTGGTGTGATCAAAGTGCGACTATAGCTAGGTTGCTTGTGTTTTGAACTGTGTTGCGCGTGTTGAACCGTTGTGGTTACAGTGACGGATCTGCACGCTCAACCGTTGAGAGTTGGAGTGGCAGGGTGGCTGGAATGAGCATCAGTCAGTGAGCAACATCGCAATCAGCCAAGTTTTAATGGAAGCCCAGGCGGCCGCCATCACGCCTGTTGTCGCTTTCTTGTGGTCATGGGCGAGGTAAGGATGGGGATACCAATGTGGGAGTTGTATCTCATCTGGTGAATTATTTGGCACGCGCAATGGTAGGTAGCAGAGTGCAGTCTCCTTTTCAGCGACGGGGGACTTCATAGCCTCGCCTCCCCAGCTTTGAGAGGAAAGTACGCCAAGTCCCAGGAAATCACTTATACGCCGCACAGTTTTTCAGTGTGACATCGATTTTGTTCCTTGCGGAACGCGCGAGTGCATGAGGAGGCAACACCCCCTTCATCCACCAACCTTTTGATCAGACCCTCTTCTCCCTGGCGGGGGGAGGCTGACTGGGTCAGCGGAAGTGACGCCACCGACAAAGGCACCTCCCAAACATCCGGCGGTGATGGCGCGGCGCTGAGCCAACAACGCCGCGCAGGTCACCGGTGTCATGTGCCGGAGCGTCCCGATTGTCCGCAGGGGCCGCCGGACGCGGTCGCCGTCGCCAGGTCATCGGTCGGCGTGCCCGCCTGATGCCGGGTCGGCGGAAGCTCCAGGTGTCAGCGTGCTGACCACGGCGGGTCAGGTGACTGGCCGGCCGGCCGGGCGTCGGCGGCCGAGCTGGGGTGCAGTCTCGCCGGTCGCCGCGCCTCAGCACCATGGCAGCGCCGTGTCTCCAGAAGCTGCCGCTGCTGCTGCTGATGGCGGCGGCGGTGCTGCTTCCCTGCCTGGCACGGTATGACCAGTGCCCGACAAAGCTGTTCTGCCAGTATGCCTGCAAGATAGCGGGGCTTCGGGAACGGTGCGTCGCCTGCTACTCGGACCTCTGCCCCTTCACCAGTGAGTGCGCTCCACAGCATGTCATCGCACGCGACATTGGCGTGATAGGTGGCAGGACACCTAATGGCATGGTGCTAACCATTCGCTGATCTATGAAGTGTTATAAATACGACGAAATTTATCATGAATATGACACACCTCTCTTCATCTTTTTGACTGTAGTTTGTGGCATTCCGGCGTTCACAGTCGTTGTAGATTCTTCTGAGGCGTAACTTGTGACTGCACTACTGTATGGCGCCAGGGCTGTCTCACTATAGCCCCCTTTTTAAGCGAACTATTCTCATCAGTTTTCCGCTTGTGTGTGGCTTCCGAAGTATTCCATGCTGAGTGCTGGGATACAAATTAGTAGATTATTTCACAAATTGATGCTTAAGTAAGGGGTAGCTGAGCACAGCATCTTTTTCTTCTGCAAATTGAAACTTCAGGGGTTCTCCTTACACATATATACTCCATGCAAGCGAAAAGGGCATTCAGATCGTGGTTCTCAGCATCATGAGCTCAGAGCTCTTGCGCTGAGTTATTGACATTCAATATACCAGGAGACTTTACTGGTCGAACGACGTGTGGAGCAAACATTGATGACATTAACAGTCCTACTCGACATTTCAAGTCGTGCTTATTCGTAACCATAAGCACGGCTTGTTACGTCTTTTGCTGTCAATGCAGTCAATGTTTGTTCTGCCACGTCGATTAACCAAAATCTCTTGGCACATCGAAGGTCGATAACCCAGCGGGAGAGCTTTGTGCTCATGACATACATAGCCAAGCACTCAAGTTGTTCAGTATATTAGCGGGGAACATTATTCACGTAGATAAAACAGAAGTAATAGCCTTATTCCTCGGAGAAAAAACAGAAGAATGGAAATATAGTTGGGTTAATATTTCGGCAACATGCCCTCATCGAAACAATAGCAGAAGCCTTTTGCTACTGTTTCGAGAAAGGCATGTTGCCGAAATATCAACCCAGCTATATTTTCATTATCCTGGTTTTTCTCCAAGGAATTAAGGTACTACTGCTGTCTTAGTCAAATGCTTCCACCACGATTATTTATTAATCGGCTCCCTAATGCTTTCCATCGGTATGGCATCGAAATAGTTGCAAAAGCTACTTCCAGGCTCGCCTTAAACAGAGGGGCTCGCGGGCACATCCACAATAAAACCTCTCGCATCTGCAGATAAAAGTTTCCCGACAATTTTTGGATCGAGGAGCCCGAACTGCTAAAAAAGATCACATATGGCCACTCGTTTTGGCAAAGATGGCTCCAGAAATATTTTAAGGTAGATGATTGTGCTAGTAAAAATTTTTAACAGTTTGCGTTTGCATTATCCTGATAGTTCTCTGACTGAAACAACAAATTTCAGCCAAGGATTTTTTATACGGATAATTTTGTCATAATTGGTTGGAAAAGAAGAATGGAGGAGTCTAAATAACGAAAAGTTTTAGATCCTCTGTCCATTGTTTTAACGGAGAGGGTGAAGTAAGTTTACAAAGAGTCCGTACTTTTTCTAGCATAGCATAAGTGTTCAGGGACTTCAGGGTCCCGTGCGTCATAATTTTTAGTAAAATGATTTACGTTTTACGGATCGATAAGGCAGAGGCGTTTTCAGGTTGGGGAGTTGTGTAAATGTACAGATAATGATCCTCAGTATGGCTCATTTCGAGAATCTCGTATGGTCATGCACTGTGTAACATCCTTCTAGCGCCGCTACGGAAATACAAAAGAAAAATCCAGTAGGTCGCAATAACGTAGATGTGATGACACTCTCAAGGTATGCAAAGTGGGGAACATGCAAGTGCCCCGATGGCTGCGTTTGAGGCAAGTAATATAAGCGCGCCTCTTCATTGGCCGTCTTCAATATATATGCGCATATATTATATTCTTTCTATGCAAACATTCACATGTTAACCGAATAACCACATTCCGCGGCTGACCATGAACTATAAAGCTATCGCATCTTGACGCTAAAATGACAACAACGAAGTTAAACTAACGCTGTCATTTGACACATACCTCCTTTTCAGACAGCGCTCAGGAGTCGAAAAAAGGAACGGTCTTCCCATCGAAACTACCGAAAAGTAAGTAGCATCGTCATATTTGTAAAGTGTGAGTCCTTCAGTGGTTGAAGGGAGCGTTCCACATTTGTACTTGGGGTCTTGGACTGAAATAGCTATATTGAAAATCAGTCGGTACAGTTCACAGCCCTGTTGTTCCTAAGACCTCATCCCCTCTAGTTTCTGAGCTACACGCTCGCAAAAACGTGCAGACTATTTCGGAGAGACTATTTCAAGGTCAACCAGGCATCCATGACACCAAAATGTCATAAAAATCTTGTTATTCAATAGCCCTGCGGCGCTTAAGCAAATACAAATACAATCGTTGAGTCGCTCACATACGGCGTTCGTGACCACGACTTCCAGATGTGACGGCCATCAGTCGGCTATGAATCAGTGTTGTGCAAGGCACCATGACGTATCAAACCATGACACATTGAGGAGCATATTTACTGGACAGAGAAATTGCGCTGTCTAGAGCAGCCTTTGTCTCTCAAAAGTGCACCAGTAGTGATAAACGTGCTAATTTCATCATGCCTCATGCTAACCTCAGCATGTTCAACGTGGAGCATTCCCTTGAAGCAAGTTCTATGCTGGCCTTACCATGCCTCTGTTCTCTTATGTACCATTTCAAGCACCCATTTTGAAGAACGGTCAGCCTTTTTCCTAGGTAACGTTACGGTGCTGATACATCCCCCAAAACACACCATTCCGAAATGCATGCATCAATTTAGACAAGAACAGTTGTCACGCTCAATGCGCTTGCTCATGGAATGCTCGTATGCTGGAGGCTTTGCTAACTGCGTCGAAAAGCTTCTCGGAAAGTGAATTATCTGAAAAACTTAATTAAAACTCTTGGTACTTCGTCGAACCCTCTGACTGCCTCAGCTAGCCGGCGTCGCATTGATTCAAAACTCTCTTGAGCCATCAGGGGCGCACCGGTAGTCTTTTTTACCACCTTATGATCATATTACGATTATGATAACTATATAATGATATTCTTTCACTCTCTCCGCGGCTGTTTTACCACACCTCATGGTCAGTATAGGAGCCAACATGCACAGTAAGTTTTTGAGCCAATCTATACCGTTTAAGAACCCATCAGAAGGCTTACAGCTTCATCAAACCTACCTTACTATTTCCGGCTTCCTGTTTCTTCAGATTTAGTTGATTTAGTCGACACAATTTTTGTTTAGACGGATTTCCGGGATCCGCGATCGCAAGCATTCGGTCGAAATTCGGCCAGATTGTATTTCGGGTTGCTTTGCGATGGATATATAAGCGCACGTTGTTTTGGGTCAACACGTGCATTACAATCTACACATACGCATTGCTTGTACATAGCGTACACATACACTCACAAAAATATAAATCCAAGCATGATGTGGCTTAGCGGTGGGGAGCGGTTACCAGGGCCGAGGATGTGCATCGGATCACCATTTCCGTGCGCATTTTTCCGCTAAGCAATGACCTGACCACTGCCCCCCCCCCCCCCCCCCCCCCCGGCAGCCGCTGCCAAGCGATGACGGTTCTGAGCTGTGGCCCGCGGCACTGCGTTCGCTAGTCTGTTCTCAGCGGCGAGTGCCCTCATTTCGGGAGCCCGTTTGCGGGAGGTGCGCGACCGTGAGACTGGGGACAGCACTGAAGTGCTCCGCAGGGCAGTGTTCCGAAGAGTTCGTTAGCTGTAAAGTGAGAAAGAGGCTCAGCGCAGCTCAATAGACATGTTCCTAAAAGTCTATGTCTGTGTTTGAGTGGAAATGGGACACTGCAAAAACATGCAAACCGACCTTTCTGTTCGATATTCGCCTCTGAAGTGTGGGTTTGATTTGCAACGCGCTTGCATTGCACTCTGTGTTGGATGTTTGTGCGTGCAGGTCTGACGTTCCTATTGGCACAGATTGCGGTGCATTAGTTTCACAAACCTTTGAAAAGAGAAGGATACCTCACTCCCAGCAATGACGTAATGTTAGACGACTTGAACTAGAGTATTGGCTGGTGCCGAGTGGGCAGCAGAAGTTTGCTCCATTCATAAGCTGCGGCTGGTGCAAACTGTCTTTGAAACCGTGATGTTTTGTTGTCCAGTAACGTCAGCGTTTCTGAGTTCCTGAATGCCCTAGCAGTGTCTGTCTGGAGCTCTTTGGAAAGCGTGTATTTAAAGTAGTGTGGGACTGAGGTGCGCTTGTCGGGCAGTCGCCAGAACAGCGTGAGTTTGTGTATTTCACGCCACGTCTTCAGCGGGTCCCAACAAGTGTGTTTCATGTCAAGTCTGTCAGGGTGAGTTTGTACATCTCACGCTACGTCTTCAGCGGGTCCCAACAAGTGTGTTTCATGTCAAGTCTGTCAGAGCAAGTTCGCTACGTCCTTAGTTTGTGCTCGTTGTAGGCAGTGACATATCCGTCTAAAACTCACAATGATCGAGTACGGGCGTATGCATGTCGTGTATGTTTTACCCAGCACCGGTCGCGGCGATCGGTATGCTGCTGGACACAGCGGGCTGAGTGCGATATTGACTTAGCATTTTATTTTCCTGCCATGATTATACAATCTAAGGTCTTCTGACAAATGAGTTTCAAATGCTTGTGCGAGTCTGTATCGTTCATCTTGCGCATTGCAAAGCCCAGGCGCTCTACATGTATATTAGGGTGACAGATCCAAACTGGCGCCGCCAGCCAGAGCATTTCCTTTGTAATGGAGGCTAAGGAACATGTCTTCAAAATCCTCAGTACAATATGACATCTACGTCATCCATCTAATGTGCCGCAACGTTTCCAGCAGTCACCACGGATCGTCCCACTGATGTGCATAGAAATGTGCGCATATTACAAAAGATATGGTGGCCCGTGGACCTGTCCAGATATGTAGGGCAGAGTATGGAGCACACGAACTGGCTTGTGGCTTACGAGCAGTTTGGGATAAAGGGCCGTTATTAGAAAAGCTGTATGTTGTTGTCTTCTTGCCATCTTGATGGCCATTAATCAGCCCCCGGCATCATGATCTTTGCACGGTTCATGACCCTTGAATCATAAATGCCTGTCATCATGACCCTTCGCTGGGTCGGGAATCCGGCGACTGCAGGGTCGCTGGGTCCACCAAGACCGCGTCGAAAACCATTAAAGCGTTGGTCTTGTTGGGGCAAAATGATTGTCTTGTGTTCCCCCCCTCCCCCTACATTGTCAACTCTTGTATCTAATGACTGTCCTGTATGTCATGTCCTGTTGTAACTTGCATACGTGTACCGTCGTAAACGTGTACGTTGTCAACGTGCTCCGTTGTACACGTGTACCGTTGTGTATGTGTGCCGTTGTGCATGTGCTTCGTTGTGCACGTGTAGCGATGTACATTGCGCACGTGCGCCGTTATAACGTGTACCGTTGAACACGCGTACCGTTGTGGACATGCACCGTTATTAAACGTCGTGTACCGCTGACTGTCGTGACGTAGGGTGACGTCACGTCACGTTACATCACATGAAGTGGCGTGACGTGACGGCTAGGCCCGGCACGGCTGCCAGCCAGCTTAATATTGCCGCCTCGGCCGCAGGCCTGTCGCGCGCGTCAGTCGGCGGAGCAGGTGTCACAAGCGCCACCGACAGCAGCGGCCCCGCTGCCCCCGCCATGGACAGCGGCGGCCCCGTTGCCGACTCGGGCAGCGATGGCGCTATGGACACGGCCATCAGCAGCCCCGTCAACACGAACGTCGCTGCCACCGCCGCCAGCAGCGGCGCTGCTGAAGCGGACGTCAGCGACGCCGGTGGCGCCGGCGTCGATCGCAAGCACGCCAAGAGTGGCGTCTCGTCATGCTTCCACGGGGGCGTGTACCGCGCGCTCTACACGACTTGGTACGACATGGCTCACTGTAACTTATACGCGTGCACCATGAGCGGGGTGCAGGTCACCAGGCTGGCTGACTCGTGCATGGATGCTCCCGATCACCTGGGTGACTGCACTCGGTACCGTCCAGCCAACCAGTGCTGCTACAACTACCACTGCACCTTCAACAACATCACGACGCATGATGACTGCGTGTACCTTGGCGTGACGCGGCCGCACGGCACCAGCTGGGTGGACGACAACGACCATCCGTGCGTGCGCTTCTACTGCAATGACGGCGCGGTGGTGGTCCTCTCGGACGTGCGGCCTCTCTGCCCAGCGCCGCCCAGCCACGACTGCGTCGGCTACCAGCTGCTCCACCAGTGCTGCAACGGCTTCAACTGTTCCGTCGTGCAGGACAAGTCTCCCTGCTTCGAGGCCGACGGCACGCGCCGCGAGGACGGCTCCGTCTGGTACGACGACGACATCTTCCCTTGCGTCAAGTTCATCTGTCTGAGCGGCGAGATCCAGGTGCTGGTGGACAGAAACAGCTCGTGCGCGCCGGCGCCGGACCCCACCTGCGCGCACACGCGTCAGGTGGGGCACTGCTGCGCTACCTTTTCCGAATGTCCGTGCGAGTTCGACGGACAAACGTACGCGCACGATACGCTTTTCGTCGACAGCGTCGAGCACCCGTGCCGCACGCTGCGCTGCGACAACGGCACCATCGTCACCGTCAACCAGACCGATTGCGAGTCGCTCGACTGCACCCTCACCGTCTGGCCAGCCGGCGAGTGCTGCCGCGAGTGCGGTGAGTGCCGGCCGAGCCACAGGCGCGCCACGAGTGCTGGCCGAGCTCCGGGCGCGCAACGAAGCCGGCCGAGTCCCAGGCTCACCATGAGTGCCGGCCGGGCCCCAGGCTCGCCATGAGTGCCGGCCGAGCCCCAGGCTCGCCATGAGTGCCGGCCAGACCCCAGGCTCGCCATAAGTGCCGGCCGGGCCCCGGGCGTGTCGTGAGTGCCGGCCGAGCCCCGGGTGCGCCAGCGTAACAACTTTGGTCAGGTGCTCCGGGGTAGAACAGAGGGAATATGTCAATTTTGAACTCCGTAAAATATGCTAGACCATTTTGTTTACTACATTCAGTGGCATGGGCAGTTCTGGAGCTGTGGACAACGTGGCCCATGCACCTGAAAGGGCTCTCAATCACGTTCAGCAGTGTGCATAGTCACCACACGCGACCAGTTTTAAAATCAACGCATCTTGTCCGCTGTTGTAGGGTTTGCTAGTGTAGCCTGCTAGCGTCATCTGTGAATTTGTCGCGTCCATTGAGCGACTGGGAACGCTCGACAGCGAGTGATCTAACTCTGGCTGTCCCTGACCGGGGCTGACGGCGTCCGCAGTCGGGTGTGTTTACGACGGCGTGCAGCGGCCCGAAGGCTCCATCTGGTTCGATAACCAGGACCTGCAGTGCACGTTCTTCCAATGCACCAACGGCCAGGTGCAGACGGTGGGCAACATCACCTGCGACCCGGCGCCCAGCCCCGGCTGCGTTGCCTGGTTCATACCCGGCGTCTGCTGCCCCAAGTGGGACTGCCAGGAAGGTAGGCCGAGAGTCTCCTGTCCCACGTGGGGCTGTCAGGAAGGTAGGCCGAGAGTCTCCTGTCCCACGTGGGACTGACAGGAAGGTAGGCCGAGCGTCTGCTGCCCAAATTGAGGACTGACAGGAAGGTAGACCGAGCGTCTGCTGCCCCAAATAAGACTGACAGGAAGGTAGACCGAGCGTCTGCTGCCCCAAATAAGACTGACAGGAAGGTAAGCCGAGCGTCTGCTGCTCCGAATATGACTGCCATGAATGTAGGTCGAGCGTTTCCTACCCCAAATGGGACTGTGAGGAAGGTAGATAGAGCGTCTGCTGCCCCAAATAAGACTGACAGGAAGGTAGACCGAGCGCGTGCTGCCCCAAATAAGACTGACAGGAAGGTAGGCCGAGCGCCCGCTGCCCCAAAATAAGACAGGAAGGTGGACCGAGCGTTACTGCCACCATTGGAGCTGCCAGGAAGGTAGGCCGAGCGCTTGCTGTTCCAAGAGGGGCTGCCAGGAGGGCATGCCGAGAAGCGTGTGCACTCTCCATGACCTGCCGACCATGTTATTTGTGGCTCGATTGCGGTCAACACCATGGGGGTGGGTTTAATTGAACGTCATGGGCCAGTATTTCAAGTTTGCTTACAAAGGCAATTCAGTAAAGTTTTCTGTTAAACTATAGCGTGCAAGTCATATGAAATGAAAAGCCTTGCAGTAATCGCACCGTTCTTTTGTTTAAGCAAAAGACAGATGCCACCCGTGTCGTGCCTTGCGTGTCTTGTGTGCGAATCGTGAGACGTGTCTTAGACACGTCTCTGGTGGTTCCCGGCATAGCATTCTCAGACGCGACCGCGACAGCCGACGCGGGGGCTGCGTTGCCATCTTGCAGCGAGCTGAAGTACAGCTTGAGCAGCTTGCCATGCCGGCGGCCGGACCTCTGGAAACGCTGTGGGTCTCAGCTGCAGGGCGAGGCGGCCGGCCGACTACGGTGGGCGTCATCTGCCGTCCACCCGATAGCTCGGTGATGCTCAGCCTGGAGCTTCTGCAGGATGTGCTCCGGGGGTCCGTTGGCACTGGCAAGCCGTTTTTCTCCTCGGTGACGTGAACTTAATCACGTTGGACACCGGCCCGACCTACATACGTCGCTAATCCGTCATAACCAGGGAGCTAAACATGGCGCAGCCGGTGGACAGCCTGACTCATCTTCACCCAACTCCACCAGCGCTGGATCACATCGTCACCAACTCGCGTGGCCCTATACATGAGATCAACATCCTGCCTGACGTCTTCAACGATCATCAGGCTGTTGTGAGGGCACGTCTGGGCCGTGTCCGGAGGAACCCGCAGTGGCGTACTCCGCGCGGCTGGACCCGCGCAGACTGAGGTGCCATCTGTTGTCCTGTTCTGATCCTCCGTCATCTGATGGAGCCAGGTGGATGGCGCCACTGACGTTAGCGCGGGGCACTTCACGACTGTGTGGGACGCTGTGTCGAACCGTCACTGCCCAGTAAGAAGGCCGTGCGCCCCCAAACCTCACTGCCCCTGACTGATCGACGACTCGGCCCTGCGAGGGCTCATATCCGAGCGAGCGCGCGCGACACCTGGCTGTGTCTGCGCACACTAGGGAGCAGATCCGACTTAACGCTACTTCGCAGTCGGGTTAAGAACCGCCTAAATGCAGCAAGGCGCGAGTCTCCCCGCGGCGAGATGGTGCACGGTGGCCGCCCAGGGTTCTGGCCTATCTTCAAGAGGTTTGCTAGGGCAGGTTCGACGCTGGCCGAGGCCGCGTCTGCAATGAGCCCCCAGGAGGCCGGGGTGACAGCGGACAAGCTCAACCGCTAGTTCGCTGTCGTGGGGCTCCGCATCGCAGCCAACCTGCGGAACACAGTGAACGCCGGCTCCAAGGACCCTAGACCGCCCACCGCCTGCGCCGCTGGCTTCTCGTTCCGACCTGAGCTGTCACGATATGTTCAGCGTATGAACACATCGCAGGCGGTGAGCCTGGATGAGGTCCCACTCCTGGCTGTGCGGGAATGTTTTTTTTCCAGTCGTCGGTCCTCATCTTTTAAAATTTATCAACTTGTCTCTCGTGACCAAAATTTTCTCAGATAGTTGAAAGACGGCATGCGTTGTACCAGTTCCAAAGTCAGGTGTCCGGCTGTGCCGTCCAATAAAATGTGTATATATCTTTACTCAGTGTGATCTCTGAGATCTTAGAAAAGGTATCTTGCACACATCAAATGGAACATTTGAGTGCGACAGCGCTGCTGAACCCATCCCAGTATGCCTACAGGCCGCACCACTCGACCGAGGATGCCGTGTCCGCCGCAGTGGAACGCCCGGTTACCAACACCGATGATGGTCTTGCACCGTCGGTAATAGCGATCGTTTTGTCGAAGGCATTCAATAGCTTCGACCACCATGTCCTTCTCACTAAACTGCCTTGGTATGGCCTTGCCAATGTAAAATGGTTTTGGGGCTATTTGAGTGGTCGAGGACAGGTGCTGGCAGCTTACTCTCCCCACGTCATGCGGTGTACTCAAAGGCCTGGCCATCGGTCAAATTTGTAAATTTTGTTCACTAACGATCTATATGGATACTTGACTCATGGCCGCTTCATCTCCCACGCGGACACCATGCGCATGAACTACGCGACCCCCGACGGGCCCGGTGCCGCTGACCTCAAAACCGGACTGGAACTTACCATGCGTGAGCTTCAGAACTAGTTCGGTGCCAGCCCTCTCCAAACGAGCGAAACAAAAACTGCTTTTGTGCTCTTCGGATCCAAGCAAAGTTTAAAATGTCAGCTGACTTCCACTTTAAGGTAAACGGTTTGACCGTGCATGCCTCAAATATCATCAAAATTTCAGCATCATAGTTGACTCCCGTCTGTCATTGGGTGTCCATGTCCCGAGCGTTGTGAAACAAGTGCAATGGCATCCTCATTTCTGTGAACAAAGTCCGTCATAGCTTTACTTTATATCTTCTCAAAATCAACATTCAGGCGTATATATTCCCTTATATCGCGCATATACCTGTGTGTGTGGAGTTGGACGAGAAAAAGTCAACTACACAAAACTAAAAAAAATCAACTTTGCAGCAAGAGTAATCACTAGCTCCAAAAGGCATCATCATATAGCTCTGGCTCTGAATTCCAAGATCTTAAGTGACCGAGAATCGAAGGCATGATGTCGGACTGCGGCGTGATGAAAGTGTTTAAGGCGCTGAAGGAGGTAGGCGCGCCTCACCAGGTCCGCGCGTTTTTTGCCTCGCGTGCCGCTGTTTCGAGCCGTGAAACGCACGCCTCGGACAGAAGTCTACACCTGCGCAGAGACCGACTGACCACCACACAGAGGGCGCTTTTGTGTGGAGCCGAGGCCGCCTGGAGCCGCCTGACATCGTGGGTCCGTTATGTCATAACACTGAGCGCGTTTGGGACCGACATACGCGATGCGATTTTAACCACTGACTACTGTTCTGATCCGGCCCATGGTGCGCTGATAGGTTTGTTTTAGCGCTTTGACCATTGTTCGCATAAGTTTTGGTATACTTTTTGCGTGTGCCTTTTCTTACTGCACCTGTACCACCTAACACCGCGACAGCCACCATGTGGATGGTTTCCAATAGGCTGACGCTGATACTGCTACTGATACCCATGTGTATCTGTAGTGGGGCAGCAAACCCCGGTATGCGTGATGATTGCGTCCCCGGCCGTGCCGCCCCCCCCCCCCCCCTCCCCTGCCAGTACGCCGTGCCCATGCCCTCAGCGCCGTGTGTGCTGGACGGCGTGACCAGGGAGCACGGCGCCACGTGGCCCCAGAACCCGCTCAAGCCGTGCGTCTTCCTTGGCTGCAATAACTCGGTGGTGACGGTGGTGGACGTGGCGGCGCCGTGCCCGCCGGCGCTGGGGCCGCCCTGCGTGGAGCGCGACGTGCCCTACCAGTGCTGCCCGACCTACGACTGCGTCAACGGTGAGTGGGGCTGAGCCGCCAGCGCTGGTGACGGCGGGCCGGATAGCTCGGCCAATGGCGCGACGCTGACACCACGGCTACACCCGACGTGCGCACCACAGCCATACCAGACGTGTGCACCACAGCCATACCAGACGTGTGCATCGCAGCTACACCCGACGTGTGTACCGCAGCCACACCAGACGTGTTCGCCGCAGCCACACCAGACGTGTTCACCACAGCCACACCCGACGTGTTCACCGCAGCCACACCAGACGTGTGCACCGCAGCCACGCTAGACGTGTTCACCACAGCCACACCCGACGTGTGCACCGCAGCCACACCAGACGTGTTCACCACAGCCACACCCGACGTGTTCACCACAGCCACACCCGACGTGTGCACCGCAGCCACACCAGACGTGTGCACCGCAGCCACACCAGACGTGTGCACCGCAGCCACACCAGATGTGTTCACCGCAGCCACACCAGACGTGTTAATCACAGCTGCACTAGACGTGTTCACCACAGCCACACCAGATGTGTGCACCGCAGCCACACCAGACGTGTGCACCGCAGCCACGCTAGACGTGTGCACCACAGCCACACCAGACGTGTGCACCGCAGCCACACCAGACGTGTGCACCGCAGCTACACCAGACGTGTTCACCACAGCCACACCAGACGTGTGCACCGCAGCCACACCAGACGTGTGCACCGCAGCCACGCCAGACGTGTTCACCACAGCCACACCAGACGTGTTCACCACATCCCACTGACCCGATATGCTTTAAAATAGTCAGTAGTATTTTGAGAACTTTTGCAAGGCATTCATTCAAGCTGTTGAGGGAAAATGTGAAGGACTCATTCAAATGGTTGAGAGACATGCTTCAGGCTAAGAATAGTTTGCATTTTTCAAGTTTGATGTGCTGCCAGATATTCCACGACACAGCATGAAATACATTGCATTATGCCTTAAAGCATATTATTGGGTACCAAATTGAAAAGCATGCACATCTTTGAACGCCGCGATTAATGGAAAACGGTTTTAAACGCACGGCAGATATCCTTATGAATGCTGTTCCTTACTGTTCATCCATACTGTTTAGCATTGTACATAACAGCGTGTCATTTCAAACACCTAACCGCTGGCTCAACGAGCACGCCGTGACGTCACGCCCCGCGTTTTTGGCGGCGCCGTCTGCAGTCACCTGCCCGTACGCGGGGCAGACGTACAACGAGGGCGACGTGTGGGTGGACAACCCGCTGCACCCGTGCAAGTGGTTCACATGCCTGCGGACGGGTGTCGAGCTGGTGAACAGCACCCTCTGCCCGCCGCTCGTGCCGCCCAACTGCCCAGCTCAGCGTAACGTCACGCAGTGCTGCAAGATGTGCGTGCCGTCAGGTCAGTGCGCTGCCGCTCGCAAGAACGGGCGCCTGCTCGTGCTTCATGATGACCCCGCGGGGGCGCCAGTGGCGGCTACGGCGTTCGTTATCTACGCGTTGATTTGTTGCCATCTGTTGTGTCTGTGAGATCTTACTTGGGTGAGAGTGACGGCGAGTGTTCGGCGAGGAGGTGTGAGGTGAGGTGCTCTCCATGTGAGAGCTGACTGAACGACCCGAGGCCGGTGGCCATTCTCGACGGAGTGAATGGCGTCCTGGTCAATTCTTCAGACGGCTCTGGCTGCTTCGACGCGCTCGGCAACCCCCGCTCGGAGGGCGAGCTGTACTACAACGACCCGGAGGGGTGCTTGCTGGTGCGCTGCCAGAACGGTCAGGAGGTACTGGTGATCGACAGAACCACGCTGTGTCAACCTCCCGACAACGTCGACGACTGTGTGGTGGTGGGCGTGCAGGACTGCTGCCCCATTTACAACTGCACCACTCAAGGTAGGCATTCCGCGAAAGGCTACATGCTAACCGATTTCTGGATCACACAATTCTGGATCACTTAGGACCACTCGGCATTCCCTATGTGTAAATTCAACATAACAAGTAACAAACACAACAGAGCGCGAACGCAGATGCACTACCCAACCATCCGTTAGTATTCAAACGGCCAAATTACTATGGTTGATTTTAACAATACGAGAGCAGTCGTTGGGCTGGTGCTCCTACTTGACGAACAATACCACGGGGACACTTCTTTGATAATTACTTGCATCTTCGTGGCTCCATGCCAGTCCTCTTTTTATATGCCAAATCCGTGATTCACTGATCGCTGCATAAATGAAAGACATGAGGCTGTGGTACGACTAGCAAACTAATTACCTGGTTTTATGGATATTCTCTGTACAAGTTTTCACCAAAGCAGGCAAAGCGAACATTATTCTTACAGATTCTCTCGGCATGCCACAGTACCCGCCAACGTAAATGTTAACGCTGTCTTGACGTGTGGTGATAGGGAGTTCTTTTTTACGATTTCATTCGAGGCCGCAAGGTAAACTGGACCATCAGGTAAGGTAGGACCTAGGCCGTTTTGCCGTTGGATGGCAGATATATAACACAGTTCGACAAGACTAAACCCCTATAACTTGTTGGCCTGTGCAGCTTAAACCAAGAGCTCTTAACCTGCGGATGGCCCAGGCGTAAAGCCCAATTCGTGGTGACTTCCACACACCCAAAATATTTGTATTTCTCGCCGTTCTTTGGCCACAAGAGCCTAAAATGTGACTCTCTGCAAATTTGCAGATTTCGTTGGTTCAAAAGTCGGCCCCGCTCGCCGTCCTGCCGCCGACTGTGCAGTCGTGTATGCCAAAGGTCCTCCTCGCGGCAGACATATTTTGCAGATGCGTGTGCGGGCCTTCAGCAGCCGGAGCCTTTGCATCAGGGACTAGAAGGATTCAGCTGAGACAACCATGGGTGCGGCCACGTCTCTGAGAATGAAAAGAGCAAGTCAAGAGTAGAGGGATCGAACAGGAATTTGAGGAGACAACCTAGGTAGAAAATCGCATTTTCATTTGGGAAACGTGAAGAAATGTGCATAATACGGGCAAAATTGGACAATATAAATTACCACCTTGTGAGTATGAGGGCTAATTTCTCCCAGATCTCTCCCCCCCCCCCCCCCCTCCTTCCAGTGGTTACACACATGCAGACAACAGCGTGCAACCGTGCTGCCACACACCTACGTTTCCGTGTTCAGACGGCCATGCGCTGTCCAGGGCGGTGCACACATTTCCGAATTACCTCGCGTATTGTGTAATATGTCAGTAAAAGTTTAAAGGATCTGTCCCACATTTGTATGGGGTTTTGAATAAGATAGTTATTGTCAAGATCATTACATGCAGCTCCAAATTATGCTCTTTGTAAGAACTCAACTCATTTCGCTTCTGAACTAGACTCATGCAAACACATGCGGACTTTTTCGTGCCGCCTGTTTTAAAGCAGCCAAAAAATATACGACGCCATAGGGACATCGTAGGAATTCCTCCTCCTTCAATGGGCGTATTGTGTTCAAGGTCAAGTCAAATATAACCATTGGCTTATTTGAGTTCGTAGTACATCAGCACCAATCGCCGCATCAACGGACAGCAGCTGGCTTTTAACCAGCTTAACGCGATACAGGTAGATCTCGATCATAAACCGCGTTTTGTGATATATGTTGCAAGAATTTGGGCAGTCCTTCTACTAACAACACCATGAGACTGGGAATTGAATAAATTAAAAAGAGCTTTCCGCGTTTGAAGATATCAAAGCATGTGCAGCACTCCCCTTAAGAGTGCCGCAATGACAATGAATGCGAACGCAAGTGAGAAAATATAAAATCACGGTCAAAGATGCAAGACAAGATATCAAAGCAGATATCGAGCATCAGACATGATGAAATAAGCTCACTTATAACTATTGGTTTACTTTTGAGCGAAAAAGACTGCTTCAGATAGCATACCGTGCGGTATTCTCACAAATACCAGATGTAAATGACTCTACAATTATATTTGCTGAAATTTCATCATCGCATGATCAGTGAAATGGCAGATTTCAATGACGTTATTATCGCGGTATGGATGCCTGAAGAGCCTTGAAATAGTCGGCACGAGAAAGTTGCCACATTTTTGCGGGCGTGTAGCTCAGAAACTAGAGGAGTTTATGCGGACTATTTTGTCTCAAGAAGGGCTTGACTGTGAACTGCACGGAATAATCTTCAAGATCGCTTTTTCATTACAAAACCTCATACAAATGTGCAACACTTCCCTTAAGAATGCCGCAATGACAATGAATGCGAACGCAAGTGAGAAAATATAAAATCACGGCCAAATATGCAAGACAACCAAGAAAAAGGCTAGCACACGCGTACCTACCGATCATCGGATAAATCACATACAATTTAACACGCACCCGGGTGGCCGGTTGAACGCCCTTCGCTCGGGTGGGGATTAATTTGACCCCCGCTCCCACGGTAAATGGGTCTGGTTTTCAACTCAATTGTGTAATTTTTTTGTTTCTGGGGTATTGTGATGTCTTCGTCCAGCGGTTCAGCTGAGCTCGGTCAGAGAGAGAGACGTGTAGCGACGCGGCGATCTGTGATGGACTGAGTCCAGTGGCGTCGTGCTATCCCAGGCGGGCACGACATAACATTTAGTTCGGGTGAACTACCACTCATAAGTCAGCTTGCATACACGCACTTACCAAGCGTCCCGTGCCGTCCGCCACGCGACGGCGGTCAGCGCCCGCGGCGGTAGGTTCCACCGGCCGCATTCCCCCGCGCGGCCGAGGCCGCGCCGCGACACGGCAGGGACAGCGTGCTGTGCCGCCGGGCCGACTGGGCGTGTTCACAACAGGTATGACCTTGAGGTCAAATAGGCCGAACAAGACAAGTAGTAGATTGGTGTACAATGTGTCCTAAGATCTCCTCATGCAAGCGCTGTGGACCCAGACACTTGTTTTAAGCAGAAGTTCGATGATGTTCATTTGAGGTCAGTGACCGTTTCCGACGTATAGAAGGCCAAGGTAGGCAAAGACCTGGGAAATTGCTTCGATTTTCACATCCATATAAACGTCAGGTATTACGCGAGGAGCTATTTTCCTGAAAACGAAATGGCGCCCTGGGTTATTTTAGGTCAGTGACCTAATTGGACCTTAAGGAGTCCATGAAGCAGGTCTGCTGTGTTCCCTGTCGTTATTAAATTCAATACGAGCACCAGAAACTATCATATAAAGCAAGCTATCGAGTAAAAAAGCAAAGTCGTGTTGATCTCCGTCTGACCTTCATGCTTGACCCTAGGCCAATGGAGTTTGTTGTAATTCTAAATTGAATTGGCTTATTGCCTAAGAAACTTTCTCAAAGACGGATGACTGTCTACCATTCCGTTGTAGAATCAGATTTAGAGATTTCTGGAAATCGTTTTGAAAAAACTATCGGGGGGGGGGAATTGACCCCCTAACTCGAGAGTGTGTTAATGGGCCACCTGGCATCAAGTTGAAGTACTGCAAGTGAGTCAGTCCGTCCATTACTGCGGTAATTCTGACACGGCCAGTTGGGCTGTCACTCTGGCATCATAAAAGCGTTCAATGACATAATCAGCTGACGACGTATCAAGGGGCTTATTTACCAAATAGTGAAGTTGTGTCAGTTACAGCAGTCTTTGCCCCTAAAATCGTACTAATATTTGCATGTAAGTTTTTATAATAACTGTAAACCGTCATCCCAGCACAGGCAACCAGAATTGCTCCTCCCCTCGATCCCAGCGACGCAGGAAACTATACGTTAACGCCAGAACATACAAGATTAAGTCACGGACCTTCCTAGCTAAGAGGTAGAAACAAACGTAAAAAAGCAGACGAAAGGGTGATTCAGGCCATATCTGTAAAAGGATTGTATATACATATATATATATATATATATATATATATATATATATATGTGTGTGTGTGTGTGTGTGTGTGTGTGTGTGTGTGTGTGTGTGTATATATACATTCGTGTACCTAGGCAGTATGCTTTCAATGATGCGAGTGTTGTTTTAAGCAAGGGGAAATGTACGTTTAATCAGTTTCTTTTGAGTTCGTTCGAATGCTCGAATTAAATCCTTCGTTGTTTTTGGTAAGTTATAGATCAACTCGCCTGTAGTCATATATATTAGTTAAAGCTAGATAACGCTTCAAGGACATCCATTCCTCATTCTCAAAGCAATGTAAGAGGGTCGGACGGAAAACATTTGAATCTGGCAAAATACGGGACATGCTCTACGAGACATACTCATCGGTAAGCCATCAGGTAACAGATTATGCATCCGAATATGTAGTCAAATTACGAGACACATACGAACAGACACATATCACTTTTTCAGCCAGTTAAACACCACGGAAAGGCAAAGACATCGAATCACTCTGCTGTCATTGGGTGACGGAACAGGTCCAAAGTAATGCATGACTTTAGCTGTTTAAGTCAGGCATTCTTTCTCTGATGAGGATGGCTTCAAGAATTCGTACACGGTGTTTGTCCGGACAAGATTTTAGAATCAGTGTGTCTTCAGTCAGGTCAGAGCGTAGGAGTTTTGGTTGTGGGTTTTGCGCATATGCTGGTCTGGCGCTCCCTCCTGCAGGTGCACAGTCATGCGTCGTAATAGGGATGTTGTGGTCATTCCAATTTAGGTAGAGTTGGGGAGCCGGCAGTCTGCGTAAGGGCAGTTAAATTCATATACTATATTGGTGCGCTTTAGTTGGTTTTGGTCCACTGTCAGGTTGTTTTTTTATTGTAAGACTACTAGCTGTTCTGCTCTTGTAATATATGACAACTTTTATTTCAGTTTTCTCGTCAATCGGTGTGATATTTGTCTTGATTATACATGCCACCAAATTTTTATGAAGTTTCGAAAGCTTTCAAAACTTTATAGCTTTTCTAGCATGAGATCTAGCACCACGGTTGCCCAAACAAGAATGATTTTGCTTATAACCAACAATCTTAACCGAAACTGCCCATAAATGTATTTATCGATAGCAAACACTCTGACTGCTCACCGTTGTCAGTAATCTACCGTACACTCCTACCGTAATCTACCGTACACTCCTACCGCAATGTACCGTACACTCCTACCGTAATCTACCATACACGAATGCGGTTTTAAATCCAAATATAATGCAATAAATAATCGGCAAAATTAACTATTGGCAGGTATGCATTGCTCAGGTGAGTTTTGAAATTCAGGTGTTATGGTAAACCACAATATATAAATAAAAGGCTAGCAAAGATCCGGAACGTGGGACGTTTATGCCGAAACTTAATGTAAAAATGTTATATACCGAGACACCGCAACAAGCTGGTCTGCCTGTCTCTCGCAAACATTCCATCCATTGCTAAAATAATACACTCGATGACACTAAAATGGGGGACAGGCTGCAAGCAAGCATAATTCGAAAAACTCATGTACGGGGAAAATTGTTCCATCATCTTGGGTACGTAGTAAAAAGACTTGGTTCATGGCAAGTCATGGTTACTTCCAAGCTGACCAGTGCTGCTCAACCCCCTCAGACACGAACCTCTGTATGGACGCGTACGGCCACCCCCGCGCGGAAGGTGAACTGTACTACAACGACTTGGACCACTGTCTGCTGATGCGCTGCGAGAACGGCCAGGAGGTCCTGGTGGTCGACAGGAGCACGCTGTGCATCCCACCGGACAACATCGAATTCTGTGTGGTTGTGGGAGTGGACGATTGCTGTCCCGTCTACAACTGCACGCCTCCAGGTAGGTCTAGTAGCCCCACTGAGGGTCGGCGTCCGTTGATAGAAAGAGGCAGGGAGAGAGAGAGAGAGAGAGAGAGAGAGAGAGAGAGAGAGAGAGAGAGAGAGAGAGAGAGAGAGGGAGAGAGAGAGAGGGAGAGAAAGAGAGGGAGAGAGAGGAAGAGAGAGAGTAAGAGAGAGAGAGAAAGAGAGGGAGAGAGAGGGAGAGAGAGCGAGGGAGAGTGAGAGAGAGAGGAGGGACGTCGGGTGATCTGCGGTGATCTGTGCTGCTGTGATCTGTGCTGCGGTGATCTGTGCTGCGGTGATCTGGACTGCGGGGATCTGGACTGCGGGGATCTGGACTGCGGTGATCTGGACTGTGGTGATCTGGACTGCGGGGATCTGGACTGTGGTGATCTGGACTGTGGTGATCTGGACTGTGGTGATCTGGACTGTGGTGATCTGGACTGTGGTGATCTGGACTGCGGTGATCTGGACTGCGGTGATCTGGACTGCGGTGATCTGGACTGTGGTGATCTGGACTGCGGTGATCTGGACTGTGGTGATCTGGACTGTGGTGATCTGGACTGCGGTGATCTGGACTGTGGTGATCTGGACTGCGGTGACTGGCGCCTGTCATTTCCCCACTTCCTTGGCTTAGTCAGATTTAACAAAACCAGCATCATGGAGCAACGCGCTGGGTCACTTTGTGGTAAATATAACTGATGATCAGTGCATAGAAACCAATGTTTACGTGACGTAATATATCAGCGTATGTCATATTAGCCGAGTGGCGTTTGGCATTTCAGTCGCCTTGTAGTTTACAGGCGGGAAAACGCGCTGCGCACGATATACACCCATAAACCTTGCTTGTGCGCAGGAATGGATGTTAGAAGTCTGAGCTCACTTCCTCTGCCGAGGCTTTTTTCTCTTTCGCAATGCTCGACGTGCTGTCTGCTAGGGGCTCACTTTTCTACTGGGGCTCCTACCCCCTTTTAAAAGTTTTGTCTTCAGTTAGACACTCTTAATGCTACATTTACCCCCCGTCTGCAGATGCTTCCCTCCTCCCATGAAGGTATCCGCCTCCGTCGGAGTTTTCCCTGCTGGAGCTCCCTTCCCACCATGGAGCTCACCTCCTCCGGTGGAATCTCCTCTGCTAGGCTTCTTCCTATTCCGGAACTCCCCGCCTCTGACAAGGCGACTGCCTTCTCTCCTGGAGCACCCTTTTTAGAGACTCTTCTTTTTCCAAAAGCCCTCTTCTGCCGGATCTCCTCTACTAAACAGCCCTCTTCTTCCGGAGCTCGACCCCTGTGCCGTAGGATGCTGCGGTAGTGCTCCAACGTCGCGGCCCCCTCACCGCTGTCGGGCCTGGCAGGCGTCACGAACTGCACGGACGCGGCGGGCGAGCAGCACGCAGAGGGTGAGATGTACTACGACGACGCGGCCCAGTGCGTGCTGGTCACGTGCGTCAACGGCTCGGAGGTGGTGGAGGTGAACAAGACCGATCTGTGCGACCCACCGCCGCAGAACCCCCTCTGCACCGTCCTGGCCGTGCTCGACTGCTGCCCAATCTACCGCTGCCGTTAGTATGCCCCTCTCTCGTCTCTGATGTCTTTGTTCCACTTTACACAGTAATTGCCAAAGGGTTATTCCCTCAACATCTCTCGCTGACAAGGATGGCAGATTAAGGAGAAATGTGGCACGGAAAAGCATGCGAAGCGAACTTCAACTCTCAGCATCGTCGCCGGGTGTTGGGGGACTAACATGGCAGAGGTGCGATGACATTTATTTTGCCGAGTGCTAGCTCGTGGTAGGTGTGGGGCCCAGAGGGCCGCAGTGCTGACCGTGCCCTCCCCTCGTCCGTCCGCAGCCGACTGCGTGTTCAACGGCTGTGACACAGCCGATCGGCAGCGAGTGGTGGGACGACCCAGAGAGGCGCTGCGTGCGCTACCGGTGCTCTGAGGCCGGCATCGTGGTGGAGGTGGTCAACCACCTGCCGTGTCCGCCGCCCCGTCTGGGCTGCACGCCCATCCGCGATCCGCCCGCCTGCTGTCACCACAAGTACAACTGCATGTTCGATGCTGATCACAACCTGATCCCGATGCAGACCACGACCTGATCCCGCTGCCGATCATAACCTGATCCCGATGCCGATCACGACCTGATCCCGGTGCCGATCTTAACCTGATCCCGATGCCGATCACGACCTGATCCCGATGCCGATCATAACCTGATCCCGTTGCCGATCCTAACCGGATCCCGATGCTTTTCTGAGCTGGCGCGGGAGCGCCGCTGGCCGGGAGCTCTGGGCGTCGCTCTCCTGGGTCACCGTTAGGTCACCCCGAGCTGACCGCCCGCGCCCATCGCTGGCTCCGCTGTCCATTGCAGAAGTCTGAAATTGTCAGCGCTTGGGCTTCACCGTCAAGTCAGACGTCTATTTCCCATACTCCTAATGTGTAGTTTTATGTTAAACGTTTAATTACATTGCGTATGTCGTTCCGATGCTAATGTTGATATGAATACACACATACACGTTTAGATAGGTTGAAGTGCCAGGCTATTCTTTACTGCGCGCTAGGGAGCGTTTATTATATCCGTATATTCTCCTGTGCGTCCTTGCACGTAAAATACAACAGATCAATGCTCGTCTGTTTTTTAACCCGGCTACACGAAAGCTAACGGTTACTGAGCACCACATCTCGCGTAAATGTATAACCACTCTTGCAACCGGAGGAATTTATTTTTGCGATCATCATGGTGCGACGGACGAGATGAGCGCGGCGTGGCTAATAGAGTGACATCTGGATGACAGACAAGTGGATGACGTGTCGACGCTCTCACCGTCATGTCCGTATGCGGTAGCGGGTCACAACATAGAAGGCCTTGATAACATTGAGCTACCTAGCGTCTGCACCAGCGCTGCCCTCTGCCGCCGCCTCAGAGGCCGTTGAGGAGCGGCCCCAGGTCACCACCCGGATCAGCACTGGGAACCCGTCATTCCGACACTGGTCTAGTTTGGCAATCGTGCTGGGTGTTTTGGTAAGGACAACATGCACTGAAACAATGATAGCCATGAACCAGTAACTAAGAAGGAAACATTTTCACCGATGACCAACGCTTAACAAGATTCTGGTTACCAGAAACTACAGAAAAACGCTGTTTAACGTTGCACGAACATCACATTGCATCACGTTGCATTCCAGTCACTCGGGCCTCTCATCTCCTGTCACCCGTTCCGGGGTGCTGTGCCTCGGGCTGCACGAAACACAGGCAGCTGAACCGAGCCGTTTCATTGTCACGTATGGAGCGTCTCTCGATCTCACATGTCGAGATCGAGCATAGATAGAAACTTTCCGGCGGATGTTGGCGTTCATCACGACGACTAAAGAACTATTTCTGAACATATGTAACCTGGGGAGTCGACTTGCATTCCTTTGTGAGGGTCTGCAGTTTCTGACAAACAGATGCTGTTAAATGTTGGTGATCGATGAAGATATTTCCTTCTTATTTACTGGTTCATGGTTCTCATGCCTTCAGTGTATTTTGTCCCTACCAACGTATTTGTCCGACTTCTTGCAGTCGGATAAATGCGTGACACCATTTGACGCCATCTGAACAGCGGTATTGTTTTTGACACCCTCACGCGTTTCGGGGCCATATTAGCGGAAACTTTGAGCTTTGTCTGGAGCCATGTGGCCAATGTTTCAAAAATGCTTTTGTTGTGTTTTTTTACCAGTATAGTGGGTTCAGCAACTCGGATTTAAATCAAACTTTCCGGCTGCGAAGAAGTGTATCGCCGTGTACCGCAGGGAATGATGGCATGAAATAATACGCAAGCTGACCCATGTTTTGAGAGACGGGTCATCTGCCACTTTGCTATGTGATAGAAAAACTAGCCCACGTGGTGTGTAAATGGCTTAGGTAACATGGCATACATCCAATCAGTGGAAATATATGCGCACGTTATGCGCACAGCAATTCGATAAGCATGCATGTGGGACTTCTATCAATAATAACACAAACATTGTTTACACCGCAGTTACAGCGAACTCATCATCACCATTATTCTTATAGTGCATGGTTATGTATCTAATTGAGATAGCTGACTTTAAGTCTCAATTACATACAAGTACTGGTCTACGTGAATTGTTCATCTTGAGTCGGTGAACTAAATTAAGTACTGTTGAATATTAGTGATAATGGTTATGTTGTTGATTATAATTGTTGACGCCATTACAAAGTTTTATTAAAAAATGTGCTACGAGGCCGAATTTAGCCCAAAGGTTTGCACACCGCTCGTGCGTCACGCAAAAATAGAAGTGAAGTAAAGCATGCACTGTTTAACACAGAGGCACTGTGTCCTACGTCAGAACAAAACAAAACAAAATAGTTGGAGCTGTTGTCCATGATGATGATCATCATGATTTGGGGTTTTAGGGCGCATCGACTGCTGTAGGTCATGCAGCGCCCGTGACTATCAATTTATGCAAGGCCGCCAATCAGGCAAGTGCATCGATCAGGTCACCCTATAAAGCCTTGATGATGAAAAGATTCCTGGGAAATCTATAGCGCGAAGAAACTGGAGCACTTTATCAAACTCGGCAACGTGCGAACAATCCCCTAAAAAGTGACACTAGCGTGCGACTCTGGACGTAGTGTCCCAAAAACTGTGCTCTCGTTGCAGCAAGGTGACGGCAAGCGGCCAGTACGTGATGCACGGTCAGCGGGTCAGAGCATCGATTGCAGCAGTCTGTCGCCAGTAGCAGGTGACGGTACGTAGCATATGTGTGGCCTATGCGTAACCGGCAAAGGGCAACTTCTTTCCTCCTATTGTCGCGAAAACACGACCGCCATAGTCCAATACGGGGTTTCACGGACTGCAACTTGTTGGCGCTCGGCGAGTCCAAGTGGAACTGCCATCGCTTCTGCATAAACGACGACACTGCGGGGTACATGTCTGGAGCTGGTAGCGGTGTTATAGGAAAGCGTGCCCCTGTCGTAGCGCGCTTTGCTGCCGCGTCAGCAAGATCGTTTCCGCAGATCCCCATGTGACTTGGGATTCAACATAGTACGGCCGTTTTTCCTGCTCGCTACAGTGAGCTAAGACGCGGTTGAATGTCCTAGACCAGTGGATTCGACGGGGAGAAGCCACCAACAGGTAGGAGCCTGCTCAAGGAATAAAAAAAGCAAATTGCTATCGTCCCACGTCAATAAGACAGAGAGCTTTGCTGATGACTATAAGCTCGGAAGTGAAGACTGACGCGTGTGAAGGCAGTGTGAGTGACCGTGTTGTGGATCCACACGAAAGCGCACCCCACACCTGCATCCGTCTTCGAACCATCCGTATAAGTCATCATGTACCCGTCAAAGGAGGCTACGTGCTCTACGGCCTCGTCTTTAAGTTCCGTGATGAGAACGCGTTGCTTTTGCATGTTTGATAGCGAAGCATCCACTCTTGGCGATGATAGCTCCCAAGGAGCAGTCTTCATGGGTTTAGGTCTGATGACAAGCCGTAGGTTGAGGCCGCTCGCGTTTAGAAGTTCTCGCATTCGTACACAAAAGTTCGTGGTGACCGTTGAAGTAGAAAAAGCCTTCGTAAGCTACGCGAAAACACTGCTTTGTAGGTGGAATGATCTGGGAACTGCGCGAGCTTGCACGTGTAGCGCAGTCCCAGCATTTGCCTTTGCAATGCTAGCGGGGGCTCGTGAGCCTCCACCAGAAGACTTTCTATGGGAGGTGTTCGAAAAGCCCCTGTGGCGATACGTAGTGCGGCGTGATGCACCATGTTCAAAGTACGTTTGATCAGGTCTGATGAACCGTTATAGATAAAACAGCCGTAGTCAAGTTTTGAACGAATCAGGGAACGATATGGGAGTAAGAGTGTCATCCTATCAGCACCGTGTGATGTTCGTCCCACGCACCTTAGGATGTTAAGAGATTCTAAGCATTTATCGCGGATTTACCAAGATTTACCAAGAAAGTGGGAGAAAGTAGGCCTATTCCAGTGCTGAAAGTTAATAGAAACATCATCGACGACCCTTTAGAGGTTGGAAATGTCTTGGGAAGGTGTTTAGCCCACATTTTATCGCCGTTGAACAACGGCGAGTTTTTCAGAGATCGTGTGGAAACATTGGTGGGCAATATGTCCGACTTAACATCTGCAAACAATGCAACATAATGTGCCTTGTTCGCAAAGGGCGAGTTGGTAGACGCAATCAGCCTGTGTGGGAATATCGCGATAGGGCCCGACATAATTCATTACACGTTTTTCAAACACATAAATGAATCACAGTTATAGGCAATTTACAACTGTTTAATTGTATAGGGAGTGACAAATGTTTCCCACAGCAGCAGAGACATTCCTATCTTATAACAACGTCGAAACCAGTAAAGCGTCGAAAAAGCTAGAGCCATGAAGACTCGTACAATAAGCGTCTTGCGTTAGTAAGCTGGTGGAGAGGATAGTGGCAAGAAGACTATCGTGATATATTGAGGAAGAGAGTTTGTTATCAAAATGTCAGTGTGCTTTCAGAAAGGGCCGTTGCACTGCTGACCACATAATAAGGCTGGAATCGGAGGTGCGAAGGAGATTCTTTTATAACAAGCTCACTTTGGCAGTATTCCTTGATTTCCAAAGTCTATATAAGTTGACGTCTGTCCCAGCACTGCTCTTGAAGCTACCTGGTCTCGAATTTAGAGGACGGCTGGTGTATTTCATGCAGGCGTATTTGGGATTGAGGACATTCCAAGTGAAATGCGGTCAGTTGGCAGGTGATTTCGAGCAAGAAAATGGTTTGGTACAAGGTGGTGTGATCTCTCCAATGTTGTTCAATTTGCTGATTAATGATGTATTTGACAGAGCCGCCGGCAATCTGTCACACGCCATATATGCAGATGGTTGCGCACTATGGGTGACAGGTAGAGGAATACACCAAATGACACAGACCATACAAACGGCCCTGAGCACGCTGGCTGAATGGACAGAGACCTCAGGATTCATTTTTACGCCATCAAATGTAACGCGATTGTGTTCCGCCGCTGTGTGAAAAATGGAGTAATGCAAAGCCTCCCTGAAACTGACTTGACAATGATCTCATTGCGTAAGCAGAGAATGTAATCTTTGGGGGTTTGTGCTAGATTCCAGACTCAACATGAATAAACACGTTCAGTATGTCCGTGCAAGGGCTCTGAAACGCATAGCACGAGTGAAATGCTTGGCGGGACGGGAATGTGGTGCCGACAGGACTATTCTGGTACAAATCTACAAATCGCTTATAAGATCAATCCTAGAATATGCCTGTCAGGTTCTGGACGGCCCTGCCAACAAAGTCATCGAACCTTAAGCGTGTGTACAAAACACGTGTCTATGAGAAGCCAATGGAGCTCTTCGGACTTCCCCAGCCTTACCTCCACTCGTCGAAACTAACAACGCGCCACCACGTCTTAGACGAATGGGTTTAACGATGAAATGCAGTATGAGGGTACGAAGAATGCAAGAACATCGTGCCACACGCTGACGCGTGATATGCTTGCGCTGCCCAACGTTGACCACGACTCTATTAAAAGATCTGGAATCTGTGGAATCCTCACCAATGATAGAATGTACACTGTGTCCAGGAGGTAAGACTTCGCAATGTCTTCCGACCTTGTGCACAAGGTAACAGCGACCCTACCGTGTCAAGGCAGAATGAAGGACGTGCATAAGCTGATAAGCAACAAAAAGAGAACAAAAGGTTGAAAGTGAGGTGCAGCAATTTTTTTGCGAATTCAGAAAACCATGTTCTGACCATCAATTTATTTTCACGGACAGCTCCAAGGAACGATTTGGGAGTGGGATGTGCTTTTGCTCATGGAGACGAAAGCCACGAAACTAAACGGAATGAGAAGTATTCTGTATTTAGCGGAGGCAGAGGCCGTTTTGCATGCTGTGAAGTGCATCGCACGACGAAATACTTTTTACAGCGTCATGTGCACCGACTCGTTGTCCGTCCTTCGTGGTGTGGAAGGCAGATAAAGCGACCCCCCCCCCCCCCCATTATCACCGACTTAAAAGACACCCTTCATATGCCGAAAGAAACTAACTATAGCTGTGTGCTTGTTTGGTTACCCGGACGTAGCGGACTTGCAGGAAATGGGGAATCAAATTATCAGGCAAAAGCGGCCACTCATCGAAGAGATGCAGACTGAGTTGGTTACCAGCAATATCTGCCGTATCTACGCATTTGTTGTAAAACGTTATTTAATGACGAGTGTACTGAATATAACCGACGATCCGCCATAAATAAATCAAGGACGTCGCAGCATATTAGGCATCCATTAAAAGGAGCACCCATCGAGAGGGAAAAGTCTTTTTCGTCTCCGTGTGCGTCATACCAAACTCACTCATTCCTCATCTTAAACCAATATTTCAGCCTAGAATGTGTTGACCGGCAGTGTTTTGACACTGCGTCACATACTCATGGAATGCCCAAAATATATGCGACAAACAGAGAAAATAGAGGTGCTATTTCAGGCCCTAGAACACCGCCTGATTTGAACACACTACTAGAAGACGACTACTCTGATATCATAGACGCGGTGATGCAATTTCCGGCGGAGTGTGAACTTCTAAAGAAAGTATGATATGCCTTTCCAGCTTGTCAACAACAGCCTCCCAGCCTGCTCCTTCGCTGTGCTGCGGAGAGAGATAGATGAGATGCTAAACATTTGAAATAGAGTCATGTTATAGCGCACAGCACAGCCTCGGTAAGATCACATTGACTTTTTTGTGGTACATCTTGCGTCATGTACATCATGTATGGATAGTGAATCTGCGGCATCTTCCAGCAACATGAATGATGTATGTTTACTGTTGTTCATCTTGTAATTGTTGTTACTGAAAATCGTCACGCCTGATACGGTGCCTGTAAATGAAAAGGACGTGTAATTTTGATGCTGCGAACAACCCCGTTCTTGCGATGATACTTGTGCGTGCACCGGATGTGTTCTCAGTGTTGCGTGTGGGTGCGTGCCTGTGTGTGTACGAGTGTGTATGTGTAGGCACATGTGTAGGTATACAATATGTATCTGTATGTGTATGCATCAGTATGTGTATGCACGTATGTGTATGCGTTGTGTGTTGGTATATGTGAGAGTACGGTATGTGAGATGAAGGTTAGAATGAATGCCCAGTAGTCCCTGCCCAGAAGTAAAAGTTGTGGTCCTTGTAGACGATACATTAGTGGTAGCTCCAGCTGTAGACAGATAAAAGAGTTTCCAGCGGTTCGCATTCGTAGTACAAAGAGCTGCAATTCGTAGATTGCGCTCTTTCATTGAGGTATGGAATAGGAAATGGGTCGAGGACTGGAAAGGCAGAGGAAGCTGCTGGATGTGCGATGCGGTGATGTTAAAGCTGTGGTAGTGTTTGCCTCACAAAAATGGATAAGACGCACGTCACAGCGATTGTATATGATTTATGGTCATGTTTGTCAAGCACCGTCCACGATGACGATTGCAGCTATCAAAATAGCACGGTAGGTTGTCTTTGCGATGTTGGATATGACATGCCAAGTTATATGTTACACTGACTGTGAAGGCGTCGTTTGGGAATGTTTTGTTCCTAGATACTTACTTTTCTTGTCTGTCTTAGACTGGCATTAACGACACTAACAAATAACACCCAGAAACATACTACTGTCTACTTCTGCATGAAAAACCTGTCCGTTTCCACACCCGCGTAGTACTGGCCTGATTAAGATCAAAGTCTTGCAAGAAAGGAGACGCGGACAACTGAGACCTGAAGCACCAATACCAAGATGGACGCTTGAGCCCGAGAGGCTTCGCGCCCTAATTCCCAACAGCAACGTCTTTCCTTCTCTGTCCTCCCAGTTATTGACTTGCTTGTTGAGGTCGAGGAAGTGCAGTTTCCCTTTCAGGTGTAGGTGTTTCCTGGCACTGGAAATTGTTCTCTTATCTGCACGTGTCAGGCCCCCGCCATTCTGCATGCAATTGTCTACACCCTGGACCATCTTCCTGAACGATAAGCAAGACTTAATCGCGGTGACCACATCGAACTGTTTTAATTAAGTATGCTGGCTTGAATTGGTAGGTCATCCTTCTGTATAGCAATCTTTTATCGGCCGATTTAAAAGAAAACAAAAACTTGGCATTGAGAACGCAAATTGAAGTGACCAAAATCCGAGGAATAAATCTGGCTTTACGGGTAGCCTAGACCATCCATATCGGCGGGGGCTCCAACCGCCTCTAAAAAGTAATGCCTCTGCTCCTAATTCAGTTACATCAGTCGAACAGTGCATGTGTCCAAAAAAGAAACGGTTGGAGTAGCCGCCAAATTGCAACGTGAGTGGGAGTTTTCCGAAGGTTGTAAAATAACCACTGGGATTTAGACACCAGGGCCTGATGTTTATAAAATAGCCGGTGGGTGTAAGAATCTAGGTACACATCTTCATAAACAACAGGAAAAGCCAAAAACCAACATTACAAACCAGGCGCATCTTCGTCGCAGGGAAGGCGCTCATGCGCGGGCGACTCCTAAAATCCCAGCAATTTTTTTGTAAAGAGAATAAAAATATGGCAGCAAATGTTACCTGAAGCTGATTCATCATAAAGGTAATGCTGACGTTTTGGTGATACGATATCGTTTGTAAAAGATTGCCAAACTCAAGTTTGTAATATAATTGGTAATCTTACTGTTCATAATAATTTAAAAACTATTAGATTATGATTTGTGGAACTTTTTGCTAGCTGTTTTTCTGATTTGTTTTGAAAAGTTATAGAAATAAGTAATGATCACTAGGTTTGCACACACAGATTTACAGTCAGCACTGAGTGTTGTTCTCGTGTTGCCGGTACAGCAAAATCTGTAGTACAACGAAGGGGTTTTCTTTACAGGCAGTGACTGCGGGTTTTGGGGCCGGCGGGTTATGTGTGTTTTGGAGCGGTGGTTCTCGGCGTTTTGTTAGTACTTGATAGTACGGACTAGTGGTGAGGCGTCGACGTGGCAGTATTCGGCTACCACTGAAGCACTCAGTAGATCCGAAATGACGAACGTCCTCAGTTGCGCGTTTTTCGTACTGTATAGCTTCGTACTTATCACGGAAATAAGTTGCGGGTAAGTATGGGGACCACGTCGCAAACGAAGCACGTAATAATGGTTCGCTGGCGGTTCGGTACACGACTTACACCATTTATTCGTCCAGACTTGATACTGTGGGATGTGCGGGCTTGCAATGTTTGTGTAGTCTGCCAAGAATCCATTTGCTGAATGCTGATGTCATATTGATGTGTTCAATCTGTACTGATTGTTCAGTGAACTCAGTCGCAGCATGTTATGTGGAATGTCCATGTATTTTTGCATATAAAGGGACTAAATATGGTTCCTGGAGTAAAAAGTTGACAGCATGTATTTTAGTTGCATAGTGCCCTTATTGTATTCTCTGCCTCAAATATTCTGTCAGCATTAGTGGTAAAGTACAGCGAAACACAAGCATTTGTGGAAAGGATTGTTGTCACATGCATGTTCAAAGTGTCCTCATGATTAGAGGCTTTAATTAACTAGTCTGAATTACACTGGACATACTAAAATATCCCTATTATTATGCCTGGTGTGCCACATCCAGTCCTGAGAACCCCATGCAAATGTAATATGTGAACAAGCACCTGGTCACCTGCTAACATTTGGCCAGTAACACCATGATCCTTTATCATGGAAGTAGCTGAAAATGCTTTGTGAGATCATACAGCTGTGATTAAACAAGACCTAGATAACTTAAATGTTCAGGAACACTACAGAGAAACCTTTATCCTGCATTTTTTTGTGCTGTGTGAAGTGGTGGAAATTACTGCATTTGGCTCTTTATACATGGAATGTACATTTTGTGGAGCATATGATCATATGTCCATATACTTGGTATAAGGAACATAATTAGGGAGAAGGGCCTGACAACTTCTGCATGGTAGTTGTAGTTTGTAGCAGAAAGCAGACAAACATATGTCTTATACCTTCATCAGATGTGCTGTGCTATTTACCCCCCCCCCCCCCCCCCACCACCACCAGCCCAAGCTATGGTATGCAAGTTTTTCTACAAAAGACTTCTGCATCCAGCATATAAGATTTATAAGCTATATATGGAGTTGATAAATCTATCAACTCCATCATGAAAATATTGTAAGGGAGCTGAATTTTGAGGAATTGCTGTGCAGTCACCATGCCTTAAAGCCTGCTTCTGATGAGAAATCATTTATCTTGTGACAGATCATCATTCACACAATACAACATAATCCTACCAATATGAATAGATGTTTTGAGTCCTTACATTTGCACTGGAAGTCATGACTGGATTACCAACACCCCTGAGCTTGCACATTGGTGTTATAATGAATTGGAGTGCAATGCACATGCACTGCACACACACACATGGAACATTTTCTTGATGACTTCATGCACAACACTGTGTAATGTGTATGTGTGTGTGAGTGTTTGGTCGGGTTTTTTGTTTGTGTGTGTATGATATATGTATTGTTCTAATTGTGTCCTAAGTGCCCTCAGACCTCCTCATGCAACCACCCTGAATCTTGATATCTTTTCTAAACAAAAGGTCGCCAGCATTTATTTTAGGTCATTTACATTGTTTGAACTCTAGAAGGTCATGTTGACTACAAACATACAAGCTTGCTTTGGCTTTTGAATTTGAATGATATGCTAGATGGTACCTCCTGAAAATGAATGAATTGTATAGGTTTTTATGTAAGTGACCTACTCTGACTTTAGGAGGTCCATGGATGATGTCAGTTGCAGTCTCTGTTAATATGACAGCAGTGTGACAACTGGTAAGGTCATTACATTTTTAGACATCTGTATGAAGGGGTGTTTGGCATTGCTGCTGCTCTGGTTGATATTTCATGGTATTTTTTTTCCAGGAGAGACTTTTACAAAATTCTTGGAGTCTCCAAAAACGCAGATACGAAGCAAATCAAGAAGGCCTACAGAACAAAAGCAAAGAATTTACATCCTGACAAAAACAAAGATGACCCAAATGCCGATGAAAAATTTAAGGATTTAGGGGCTGCCTACGAGGTTCTTTCAGATGAAGAGAAACGGAAAAAGTACGACCGTTGTGGAGAAGAGTGTGTTAAAGAAGATGGTGGATTTGGTAAGGAATTGCTTAATTTACACAATATGATTTGGCCTTGTGAACCTGAATTTATATGCACTTACTTTCACTTTCTGCAACTATTACGCGTGATCAATATACATTTTATTATGTCTTCCAGGGACATCTTGTATGCTTTGTGGTTATGTGGTATAAAATCCATTGTAGTTTTTTAATATATGCATTATAAGGACATCATCACCTCCTTCCCAGGACATCTTGTATGCTTAGTTTGTGGTTATGTGGTATAAGATCCATTGTATTTTTTTTTAAATATATGCCTCATAAGGACATCATCACCCTGCTGGTGGCAATTTCAGTTACTGCAGTGGTTATGCAACCTTGTACACACTGCCTTGTACAGGCGCCTCTGGCAGTAACTAAATGCCACAGACAGACACCATGAGCCATGTGTTTTAAGTCCACATACACTATCATCATCATTCTATTTATGATACCGCTTGCAGGCAACATGGATCCCTTTGCGTCGTTTTTCGGCGACTTCGGGTTCCAGTTTGAGGACGGTCACCAGCGAGGCCGTGAGACGCCGCGGGGCGCCGACGTGGTGGTCGATCTCTGGGTCACCCTGGAGGAACTCTACACCGGCAACTTTGTCGAGGTAAAGCTGTCCTTCGCGCGACATTGAGGGCATTGACGCACGACGTGGAAAGACTGCAGGGTTACACATCCACGGTCAAACAGCAGTCAAACAGGAATGGGGGGAGGGACGGCAGGGCGGGGCGCCAATCATTGAACAGAGAAGGTAACCTGTTCAACTCGCTAATAGGAAAAACAACACATGTGGGTGCTGTGGGTTGTAGTGTGATGCGTATGTAAATGATATGGTGTGAAAGATGTTTGACATGTGATGGATAAGTGATCATATCACTGATCACATGCTCACGAGTCGTCCCCGCGCCGGCAGGTGGTGCGAAACAAGCCTGTGTTCCGCCCGGCGTCCGGCTCGCGGCGCTGCAACTGCCGCCAGGAGATGGTCACCCGCCAGCTAGGGCCGGGCCGGTTCGCCATGACCCAGCAACAGGTCTGCGACGAATGCCCCAATGTCCGGTGAGTCGAGGCCAGAGCAACGGCAGCGGCGCCAGTCTGAGAGCCGTGGTGATGTGACAGTCACCACCTGAGAATGGTCCTGTGCGAGATCTCGTTGGCACGCTGGTGAAGTTGACATTGGGCATTCGTGTAGCCACCAAGGCTGGCTGAGGACGGTTGGTGCTGGGGCCGGTCGCAGATGGAGCTGTCGAACAAACGGCGGACTTGACAGCATTCCGCTGGTGCCAGTCTGGTGACCAGTGCACCTGGTGATGATCATGTGACAGAGGTCCTCGGGTGCCCCTCATGACTGTACGTCAGCTGGTGTGGATGTTTGATCCTTGCATGCGTTCAAGTCCATGCGCGGGCCGTTGCTGCGCGTGGGCGCCTTGCGCAGCGCATGGAGTGTGTCGAAATTCAAGATTTCTTGTAGACATTGACACCTTTCATGGACGGTTTGAGGCTCTGAGATCTGGACTTATTGCGGGATTTCGGGACTTCATGCATCCATTCATTGTATTTTTCCTTGACTTCGGTCTCTTTCGGGGCCTTGGTAAAGACATTTCAATCTTCATGGTACCTTTTTAACCGATGCCATTTCGACACGCCAGCCTCGGGTGACCCTTGTAGGTCCAGGTTTTACTCCTCCCCGAGCGTCTCTGTCCGCGGGGCGGTCATCACTGATCTGTGGTGCCCTCGCTCGCCCGTCTGGCGGTGCAGCGGCCGCCGCTCGCCGCTGACCTGCACTCCTGTCGTGCGTTCGTATCAGTGACCGCGGTGCGGTTGCCACCGTCCGCTCGCTGCTGACCTGCGCTCCTCTCGTGCGCTCTTGTGTCGGTGACCGTGGTGCGGTCGCCACCGTCCGCTCGCTGCTGACCTGCGCTCCTCTCGTGCGCTCTTGTGTCAGTGACCGCGGTGCGGTCGCCACCGTCCGCTCGCTGCTGACCTGCGCTCCTCTCGTGCGCTCTTGTGTCGGTGACCGCGGCGTGACCGCTACCGTCGGCTCGCCGGCGCCCTTGACCGCGCCGGTGCCGCCCCAGGCTGGAGACGGAGGAGCGCCAGCTGGAAGTGGAGGTGGAGCAGGGCATGAAGGACGGCCAGGAGCAGCGTTTCGTAGCCGAGGGCGAGCCGCACGTGGACGGCGACCCGGGTGAGCCCCCCCCCCCCCCCTCCGGCCGCTGGACGGCAGCCGTGGTCCGCTGACGCCGCAGACTGCGACTCGGGAGCCGGCGTGTCATTCAACTTTCGACTCTGGGTGTCACGTTTTGTTGTCATGCTGTGTTTTGTAGATCCCCACTTTTCACCATAATCTCCGCCGCGTTTTCACTCTGGCGCGCTATCGGGACGTTTTTTCGTTTGCAGAAGTACGCCAGTTCAGGCGATCTGCGTGCGTTGCGTCGCTGCCACACATAGCGGCTGTTATTTATGTGCTGCCGTCTGTGGGTTCTGCAGTCTATTGTATCAATGGCCACGCGCGTGCTGCCATCTGTGCGCCTTCGGCTGGGCTTCCGAATGCCTCGTGAGACCGGCAGCTGACCGTGCACGCTTGGCCTTCCGCAGGCGACCTCATCTTCCGCATCCAGTCGCGGCCGCACGCGCGGTTCGAGCGACGCGGGGACGACCTGTACACGAACGTGACCGTGTCGCTGACGGACGCGCTCACTGGCTTCGACGCCGAGATCGGTGAGCCCCCCAGCGGTCCGGCGCGACGGGCGAGGCGCCGCGGCGATAGGCTGGCTGTAGCCGGGCGGGTCGTGTGACGGCATGTGTGTGTGTGTGTGTGTGTGTGTGTGTGTGTGTGTGTGTGTGTGTGTGTGTGTGTGTGTGTGTGTGTGTGTGTGTGCGTGCGTGCGTGCGTGCGTGCGTGCGTGCGTGCGTGTGTGCGTGCGTGCGTGCGTGCGTGTGTTGTGTTGTTGTCGGGCTGGTTGTCTTCCGGGTGGCCTGGTGCCGCGCAGCACCGCCGAATGGGGGCGGCGACAGTGGGGCTCTTTTCCCCAGCTGGGGTGGTCGTCTTGTCACCGGGGCGGGGTTGCGTCCGCCCGCGGTGTGCAACTGAGGGAAGTGAGAACGGGAGCGGGCTTGCTCCGCCGGAGGCGTGCCTCTTCAGATAGCGACAGCGCTTCACTTATCGGAAGTGGGAATGGCCGCGTGATTTCTGTGTCTCTTGATGAACCATGGCTGGCGCCGGACAGAGCCGAGACTGGTGACGAGATCGTCTGAGTTCATCGAAGTATCGGTGGAATTCATTCGTTTGCAAGTTTCCAATACGACTACGTGGCTTGAGAGGGTAGGTCTTGTCATTTGGCCGAACTTGGCAACTGAAAATAGCATGACCCACAACAGGCACTAGTGGCCGGGCGACTTAACATGTTCGAAAAAATGAAAACATGGTATATTGCTGTGTTCCTTAATGCACGTACAAGCAGGTAGTTAAGACTATAGACTGCTTGATTTGCAACGGTAGGTTGCAGCAAATGCGTTGGAGTCTTCCGCAATTGGGCCAAATGGTGCTAGCCGGTGTCTGAGTCGACTTACAATGTCAGGGCGCTGACACAACCTCCGGGCCTCTGTGCACGCGACATGCCTCTGCTGGGCGGGTCGGGCCCCTGTCTGCGTGCTAAAGATGGGCATGATTTTTTATAAAGGCTGGGGCCGAACATTTCGCCTGGATGGCGTTCTGGGATCTGCGGCCGTGCCAAGCGGTGTGTGCTGCGTGAGCCCTCGCCCTTACAATGCGGTCATAGAATTTCGGGCCGGCGGCGGAATTTTGCAGGGAAAGCTCCACGTGCCGCAGTGTTCCACATGGCCCGTCCTGCCGTCTGACCTCATCGGACCTTGACGTGGCCGGCGGCCGGTGTCTGGCCGCGGGCCACTTGCCAGGAGCGAGAGCAAGCGTGTGAGGCGACCACGCTACGGACGGATGTATTGGAAGGCAGGCGCTTTAACCAAGTGAACTATCCGGACATGCAGCATACAAATTTCTTGTTTGATGAGTAAAGTTTGGAGATGGCGGCAATTTCCGTACGAAGAGCCGGCGCCGAACCGACCCCTGTCGCGTTCACGGCTATGTTTCTATGATATGCACATTCGTTCGCCGTGTATCGCGATACCGCCATGCAGCCCGACGCCATTTCTCCAGTTATGTCCAAAAAATACAAGATTTACCGACGGCGCAGGACACGCCAGCCTATCGAACTTGTGTGCCGACCGAGAGATCGCGGTCCCTGTCGGCCGACCTCCCGGCTGCATGTGTTAACAGTTGCCGATTGTGCAGTACTCAGATAGTGCTATCAGGGTCATTGGGGACGGCCGGGAACGTCCTACACGGGAAACGTACCGGGGATGTTGGCCCCTGAGCTGGCCAACATCTCCGGTACGTTGCTCTGACCCCAGCTCTGCCCCCAGCTCCGACCCCAGAGCTGGAGGCAGAGTTAGCGTTAGACAGTCGTGGTCATGGTTGCGTGGTCGCTTTGTTAAGAGCAGGGTGCGCGGGCCTGCTCCTTGTTTACTACGCGGTCGCTGACGGGTTTTCCTTGTCAACTGCGCGAGTGCGTCAGGACGTCAGCAGGTCTGTGTACGAAGCTGCGCTGCGTCGGGACGGTTCTGCTTGTTCCCCAGTCACGCACTTCAACACACACACACGCGCATGGTGCACGGAAGTGGGTTCTATTTGTGGCCTGTCCTTGCTGCGCGGCTGTGAGGTCGCGTTGAGTCAGGCGGTGCACGCGCGTCGCCGCCCTGACTCAGCGCGTCGCGTACGAATCCGGGAGTGGCTCCGGCCGGACGAGCTGCGGCCGGCGCGCCCAACGGGGAGCCCCACCGCGCGCAGGGGCGTCTGGGGCTGCCACGTGCCCTCTGGCGCGATCAGCCCGCAACCGGCTGACGCGTGTACCCCCTCCCCAGCTGCTGTGACGCGTGCTGATCCCTGTGATCCCTGTGATCCCTGTGTGGGTGTGAGTGTGGGTGGGTGTGCGTGACATCGTGACGCTGGCTGTTCCTTGTGTGTGACCCCGTGATTTTGACCAAGCCCGGGGTCTGTTCCAGTGCATCTGGACGGCCACAAGGTGCGCGTGCAGCGTGAGAAGGTCACGTGGCCGGGCGCGCGCATCCGCAAGAAGGGCGAGGGCATGCCCAACTACGACAACAACAACCTGTTCGGCACCCTGTACATCACTATTGATGTCGACTTTCCCAAGAAGGAGTTCAGTGACGAGGAGAAGGAGAGTAAGTGTCGATGTCAGTGCGTCGATCGGCACAGGCGGTTCCCGATACGCAGGTGGCTGCTTTAGAAGGCATTTGTGAAACATGTCTCCTGTGCCTCGATCAGGTTTACAAGCGTTACCTTCCGTGGCCATGCCGCGCGGCAGCTGCACATTAGATGGTCGGTGAAGAACAGGCCGTGTGCCGTGTGACATTCCGCTCGTTTTGTGTTGCGAACAAAGCCGGTTCTGCAAATCTGTAACATTGCGTGAAGATCTAAACTAGGCGATTCGGGCGTGTTCCCAGTATGGCTTGGAGAACCAGCGCGGGTGAGTGCGGTCGACCCAAACGCAGTCTCCCTGCCAGCCTCCAATGTGTGCTGCACGCCGTTCCTGTTATCGGGTCCTTGGCGTCCGAGGCTGACTTCAGTGGAGTGATGTCTCTCACACGTGCCGTGTCTGGGTCAACCGACGCAATCACCGGTCCGCCTCTTTCAGCTCTGCGAGAGGTGTTGCAGCAGGAGAGCAAATTCAAGGTCTACAACGGCCTACAAGGCTACTGATGCGGCGCCGAGCCTAGTCCAATACCCCACCTGCGTCGCGGCGCGCGTGTGCGCGTGACGTGCCGATCTGTGATGGCGTGTCGGGGGCGAGCGCCGGCCGCCGCTCGCTCGGGGACCGTCCAGCGGAGGTGGGCGGCCGGTCGAGCGCGGCCGCGGGGTGCGCCGCCCCACTGACGCGCCGCCAACGGGTCCGGCGCCGGCCGAACGGCGGCCGGGCGTTAAAACTGTCCGCCGGCCCAGCAAGCATGACAAGGGTTCTGTTCGAAAGACGGTTAGACGTGCGCTTGCGCGGGAGGGGCGAATCGTTGTTTTCGGGCATTGCGGTGACTGAGATTGAAACGTTGCCTGGGAACTCAGGCTTCCAACCGCTCCGCTCGTGTCCGGGGACTGCAGGCTCCTGCTACTCAGTTGGGGCTGGGTTTGGAATGTATGTCGTTTAAAGGGCCTGTGTGGGGCATCTGTCATCAGCCAGTCTGTCCGTACGTGATGTTTTGTTCGGTTCCCCTTGTTTTCCCGTTGTTATGTGATGCACGCTCAACTGCGTTACCTACAAACAATACACCAGTCACCATCTTTCGAGCTATCGCGTTTGTATTGGTGGACATGATGGATTGGAAGAAGCATGGTCGCCAGTCGTTACCATTAAGCGCTGGCGCATAAGGTCAAGCGAGGGCCTGCAAACAGTCCGCAATGATGAATGGATGTGGTGTGTATGATTCGGAATTAGCATCGTGCTTGTCCGTTAAGCTTAATTTGCAAGGGTGATTGCAATTGCGTTAGAGCAAGGGTGTGAGGGGACCGGGAGCGTTCGGTTGAGTTGCGCGTCAGGCAAATAGAGGTACATGGTTCGATTCCCCGTAGTGCCCGACCTTCCTTCCATGGTGAGGGACAGGCGACGCCTCATAGTCTCAGCAGCTGAGTGCATCATAAAGCCCTTATGACGACGAACCAGGTGTAAGCTACCAAACAGGTGCGGCAGACTGGGCGGCGCGATGACTGCTGTTGCTCGAAGGTGACGGCCCATGTGCAGCCCCTCATGCGGGCTTTCGTACCAACCCGCTAGCCGGGCAACGGGGACTTGCGGTCGCTCGCCCGCCACCAGCCGTGACGGGACCGTCAACAGCTAGGATTAGTTCGTGGATTGTGATCAGCTGACTAAAGACGTCTTTCAACGATGACTGTTTGGGATTGGATTTAACTGAAAACTTTTTTAAAAAAACTGGCCCAGCCCGTCAGCCGTCGCTCGGCCCAGTACGTCAGCCGTCGCCCGGCCAAGTCCGTCAGCCGTCGCTCGGCCCAGTCCGTCAGCCGTCACTCGGCCCAGTCCGTCAGCCGTCGCTCGGACCAGTCCACAGCCATCGCTCGGACCAGTCCATCAGCCGTCGCTCGGACCAGTCCACAGCCGTCTCTCGGCCCGGTCCATTAGCCGTCGCTCGGACCAGTCCATCAGCCGTCGCTCGGACCAGTCCACAGCCGTCTCTCTGCCCGGTCCATTAGCCGTCGCTCGGACCAGTCCACAGCCGTCGCTCAGACCAGTCCATAGCCGTCGCTCGGCCCAGTCCGTCAGCCGTTTCTCGGCCCAGTCCGTCAGCCGTCGCTCGGCCCAGTCCGTCAGTCGTCGCTCGGCCCAGTCCGTCAGCCGTCGCTCGGCCCGGTCCATCAGCCGTCGCTCGGACCAGTCCACAGCCGTCGCTCGGACCAGTCCACAGCCGTCGCTCGGACCAGTCCATCAGCCGTCGCTCGGACCAGTCCACAGCCATCGCTCGGACCAGTCCATCAGCCGTCGCTCGGACCAGTCCACAGCCGTCTCTCGGCCCGGTCCATCAGCCGTCGCTCGGACCAGTCCACAGCCGTCGCTCGGCCCAGTCCGTCAGCCGTCGGTCGGCCCAGTCCGTCAGCCGTCGCTCGGCCCAGTCCGTCGGCCGTCGCTCGGCCCAGTCCACAGCCGTCGCTCGGCCCAGTCCGTCAGCCGTCTCTTGGCCCAGTCCGTCAGCCGTCGCTCGGCCCAGTCCGTCGGCCGTCGCTCGGCCCAGTCCACAGCCGTCGCTCGGCCCAGTCCGTCAGCCGTCTCTTGGCCCAGTCCGTCAGCCGTCGCTCGGTCCAGTCCGTCAGCCGTCTCTCGGCCCAGTCCGTCAGCCGTCGCTCAGCCCAGTCCGTCAGCCGTTGCTCGGACCAGTCCATCAGCCGTTGCTCGGACCAGTCCATCAGCCGTCGCTCGGCCCAGTCCGTCAGCTGATGCACATGTCCGCGGCGGCTCTGCAATCGAATCAATCGCGTGTCCGGCCTGTCGATGCACGGCGTCCTCTCTATCCAAGGTGATCACAGTCACGGCACTCCAGCCCAGACCCGCTCATCTTGATACAGATCCGGCCAGGAGCAGCTGTTCTGGCAGTCGGCGACTGCAAGGCGCGCAGGCAGATAGGTGACTGATGCATGTACATGCTTCGAAAAGGAAATGTGCAGGCATCGCAAGGCCAGTTCCTGCTCGTGTTGCAGCGTTAATCAAGCTGGAGATCGCCATTTTAACGAGACTGATTTACATGCCGGTACACGTCATGAAGCCGCAGCACTTGGTAACAAAGCAGGGTGTCTCAGGCAGTGTTGTAGTCAGGAGATGGACTTAAAAGGCTCATGCGCCTTCCTATCCAGCAAGCGATTGCAAGATCCTGTGCTCGAAGCTTCTGGTACTTGTTGGCAGCTAAATGCATCCATAGGGGGTATAACTGTCTAGGAACAGGTCAGAGGCGTGGAGGCATTACAGTAACATCTCGAGCCTAACGAATCTCCGAATCCAAAAAAGGCAAACGTCGATCAGAGGAGTCCACTTGGTTGGAAGCGGCCCCTTTGACCCGATTTTCTCCGCTGTCACGGGTGTGATCCTGGATGCGCCTCTGGTCCCAGGGATACGCCTCTGGTCCCAGGGATAGACCATGCCTTGCTGGGAGGAAAACTGAGACATAACAGCTATCGCTCTAAATGCTACAGTATTCCGTAAGCTGCTGGCAAGATGAGATCGATTGGAACTAGTTTTTGCTTCCAAAATTAATGAAATTAACGATTGGCCAGAGCGTTGTCATTTTCAATCTAGGCTCTGTCTTCTGTGTAAAAGGAGACGGTTTGGGCTCGAAACAAAAATAAACTGTTCGGCCACTGTTACAGAGGCTGTCACTTCACACGCATCATCGTATCATTAATGATCACATAATTTTCGTACTTTTCACACAGTCGTCAAAGCAGTCGAAGAGTCTTCGAAGCTGTTGTCCTGGAAGTCGTCGAAGCAGAAAAAGTCGAAGCAGAATCAGATGTGATCAACGGCGACCGTCTGAGGCTCCCTGAAAAGAATCACGCGCGGCAGGGACGAGGACCTCGAGCAGCCGGCGCCGCGAAGGCGTGCTGACGGGTCTCCCACTACCCTCCTGCGCATCGTGAAGCCGAAGGCAGAGACGTCCCAGCTGCCGACTTCCAGCAGCACCACCCGAGACGAGGCCGCTTCTAGTCACAACATCGCGTGCGCTGTAATCGGCGGTCCTGTTCTCGATGGTTCGGGCCGCGGCGCGATCAGGGAGGACAGCCCATGAATGGGCCGGCACGCCCTCCTGCCGCAGGGAGAGACGCGGCGGCGCGGCGGCATGCGGCCTCGACGAGTGGACCGGATGCTCTTTGTCTGATCGAGTGGGGGATACGCTTCTCGACAAGACCTGACTCGTCGGACATGGTGCTGCGGGGTAGGGAAGGGGCTTGCTGGGTACTCTGCGGTTTGTTTGTTTTGTGTGCTGTGCCGTAGATGGCGCCTGTGTGGTGCTGCAGGAGCACGTCTGTCATACTGCAATGAAATCTGATCGCAGCTGATTGATCGAGCAGCGCAAGGGCATGGGGACAGCTCGTCTGCAGTCCTGTCTCGTTCTCCTGAGATGAAGAAGGGGCTAAATGCATAAGATGGGGAGAATGAGCTGCTGAATGAAATCGGTACATCGGTAAACATGCTGCCGAAACAAACCCGTACAGCAATCGGTAAACGGAAGTACCAACGTTGCGCGTTACTGAGCGTTTAGCCTCAATATCGCATGCTCTTTACGATTGGGATTGGATTGGGATTGCTGTTGGGATCGCATTTTAAACAACCCTTCTTTATCGAGCAAAGACGCGGACAGGAGGTGAGTCCAGGGCCCGGTCAGCGAAGCTGTTGACTGCTACCGGGATAGAACGGGGTCGAGCGGCGGCCGAAGGTGACAGTGCAGGGTCAGCGAGATGCTTACCGACCGAACGTGGGAGTGGTGCTGGGTGGGGGTAAGTTATCCAATGATCTCCTAGTCGATGTTCAGAGGGGATGTCTTCGGCGGATGTTTTGATGAATGCTGATGAAAGGTTCGCATGGCGGCAAGCCTGATGGACAGGATAAGTAGCCCAACCGGCCAGAGCGTCTGGCTCCCAGCCCACCGGGGGTGTGGGGTTCGAGTCACTTCGGCACTCGCCATTCACCCTGCAATGGCCTGTAGCCCATGACACCGGCCGCTCAGGGTTAGGTCAGGTCAGAGGACGGGACGGACCGTGTCGAACATTGTGGCCCACGTCAAATTTTTGCCACGACACTTTGTCGTTGATTTGGAAAGTCAAAATTATATGGTGAGTCAGCGTCCACACAGAGACTGCTTAGCGCGGCCCCTTATCCCATAAATCCCTGCCTTTAAGAAGCCCTGACTAGATTCACAAAAATGGCATGTCCGAGGATAACGAGGACAAGAAAGCCTCATCAGTGTCAGCTAACGCTTCGGATATGTCCAGGGGATCTGAGAGGAGAGCATCGGAGCAGGACAGCTCACTTCCCGCCGCCACCAGGTCGGCCGCGTACCGGACGGCTGACCGCCCCGATCGTCAGGTGACCAGCCTGCGCGGCCGGGCGCGGTCGTCGCCGCCGGCGGTGCTCACGTGCAAGCAGCGCCGGCCCCGGGCCGGGAGGAGCGCGCGGCCCAGGTGCCGGACCAAGGCCGGCCGGTCTGAGCCGGCCGGGCCGCCCCCGCCGCCGTCGCCGGCCTCTGCACGGCACGGCACGGCACGGCATGGCCCCTGAGTCATCGGCTGGCCTCAGCTGGGCGCGCGCGCGCTCTCCCAGCCGGCTGCGCCGCACCAGATCCGTCCGGCGCCCATGTCCAACCGGCGCAATGAGCGGCTACAAGCAGTGGCTGCGGTGGCCAGTGATTTCACCATACATGACAATCGGAAACTTGCTGTGGCATTGGGCTTTGCCGTGTTGGTCACGCCTGACCCCGTTAGTAGAAACACGCCATGAATAATCCTGCTGAGGCGGACAGCTCCGGGAGACGGTGCGCAGCCCTCCTGCCGGGACACTGCCGGTCTTCCTGCCTACCATTCCTGCGGTTCCGCGTAGCCCGCGCGGGCCGGCGAGCACTCGATCGCCGCTGATGGCTGTGACGTCATGCCAGGCCGGTCTGGCGGGTCGGAGCAGGCTCTGGCGTACACCGCCGACTGGTCCTTGCCACCACTTGTGCGGCGGCGCCCAGGGGCGGGGCGCCGCGGCCATGGGCGGCCCGTGCCATTGAGGGGTCGCCTCGGATGACGCC